GCTCCAGCACCTCCAGCACCAGCAGCAGCTCCAGTACCTCCAGCACCAGTAGTACCTCTAGTACCTCCAGTAGGACCTCCAGGCCTAGTAGCTCCAGTACCTCCAGCTCCAGGACCTCCAGAAGGACTGGCAGCACCCCCAGAGTCAGCACCCGAAGTCTCAGCACCCCCAGAGTCAGCACCCAAAGTCTCAATACCCTCAGTCCCAGCACCCTCAGGCTCAGCACCCTCAGTCCCAGCACCCTCAGTCTCAGCACCCTCAGTCTCAGCACCCTCAGTCCCAGCACCCTCAGTCCCAGCACCCTCAGGCTCAGTACCCTCAGTCCCAGCACCCTCAGTCTCTGCTCCAGTGTCCACGGCAGTAGGCTGCAGAGGCGGCGAAGACGGCAGAGGTGGGAACCCGGGGGGGGTAGCCAGACGAGGAGAGCGGGCACCCTCAGACTCACCACCCCCAGCCCCAGCTCCAGTAGTCTCAGCTCCAGAGTCCACAGCAGCAGGCTGCGGAGGCGGCGAAGACGGCCGTGGCGGGAAACCCGGGGGGGTCGCCAAGCGAGGAGTGTGGCGAGTGGTCGCCGTGTCGTCGGCGACGGCGTCACCCCCCTCAAGTGAGTCAGAGGAGTCAGAAGAGATCTCAACTGGCTCATCCAAGGGGGGTGGGTCTACCTGGGACACACCTGAGGGAGCAGGACCCTGTGGGGGGAGGGGGTCTACCGGGGGGGGGACTGGTACCAGGAAGAGGGGTGCAAGGGGGACCGGGTGGGACGCGTGCGGGTGAAGTCGGTAGTAACAGACCGACTCGGCGAAGGTGACGTCCTGAGAGGACAGAACACGACGCGAGGCAGGGTGGTAGAACTGCCAGGGTGGAGCGTCGGTGGGGAAGCCCAGGAAGACACAGCGGAGAGTGCGAGGAGAGAGCTTGCTCGCTTTGGTATCGCGAACAAGGGAGAGCGCGCCCCAGACCCGAAACGACGACACATCACCAGGCTGTCCCGTCCAACGAAGTGTGGGCGAGGTCTCTGGAGCAGAGACACGGGGCCAGAGGTTGAGCTGATGCGCGGCGTATCGGACCGCAAACGGCCACAGGAAATGGGGAGCAGCCGCATGGATCATGGAGGTACGAGCAACCTCCATGATCAGGCCAATGCGACGCTCAGCGATCCCATTTTGCTGCGGAGAGGCCGGAAGCGTGAACGACTGGGCGATGCCCTCATCCTGGCAGAACGTCTCAAGGACGCCAGAAGAGAACTCACCACCCCTGTCAGAGTGCAGACGCAGGACTGGGAAGTCCTGATGAAAGCGCTCGTGTAGCTGGAGACGAGTAGCACGGATCCAAGGGATCAAAACACCGCTGACGTCCGCCTTGCGACGCAAGGGGAAGACTGTGGTGTAGCGTGTGTAGTCGTCAACAACCAGCAGGAAGTAGCGCTCCTGGTCCTCTCGACGCAAGGAAGGCACGGCGGCGCAAGTGAGCGCGGGAGGGGGGGCAGGGTCTCAGGGAGGCCAGAGACCAGGAGCCGGGAGTGCATGCCGCGCAGACGCTGCAGGGAGGGGTGACCAAGACGGTGGTGCCAGCGCTGAGTCTCGTGCGTGAGTACTCTGCACGAGCAAGACGCAGCTAACTGCCCTGACGCAGACGCTCGACTCGACGCAGCTACCTGACCTGACTCAGCCACCTGTGCAGACGCAGTGGTCAGTGTGTACAGACTAGACCCAGGCTGATGAGTGAACGTAGCCAGGTGACGGCCAGTCCGGGAGCACGTACAGATCGCCACACGCTGCCCTCCAGGAATAAAGGTATCAACCCAGACATCCTGAATGGCAGCGTTGCTCACCAAGTTCGTCGAGAACGTGGGGAGGTGGAGACCTGACAAAGAACCAGAGGGGACTGCTGGACAAGGGAGGACCGTGGAGGCTCTCGCAACCACTGGGCCCCCAGAGGGGTCAGCCAGTGAGACTGGGACAGGTGCTGTGAGTGGTGTGACTGTGGTGCAATCACGGAAGAAGCAACGTGACGCGCCTGAGTCAAGCGTGAAAGTGTGCAAGACCTCACCTGAGGCAGGACCTGTGGTAGTAGACGCACTAGCACCTAGAGCGTCGGTAGACTCATGGGCACCTAGAGCTGCAGCAGACTCACTAGCACCTGGAGCGGCAGCAGACTCACTAACACCAAGAGCAGCAGTCCTAACAAAACGATAACCTCCACCACCAGGACGACCTCGCTGAATAACCCACTCACGAAGCTGCTGAGGGGTGGGGTTGTCTGGGAGAAGCATTGCCCGCTGCTGTCCACCCCTGGCCGCAGCAACTGCCGCGGAAGTGGCCATGACAGACAGTGACGGTCAGGAGTAGGTCCAGCACCTCCAGCTCCTACAGCGCCAGCAGCACCTCCTGCACTCCCAGCAGCACCTCCTCCACTCCCAGTAGCACGAGTAGGAGCAGCAGCAGTAGTAACAGCAGCAGGGCGGCGCGCGGCCAGAGCAGGGCGGCGCGCGGCCACAGCAGGGCAGTAGTAGGCAGTAGCTCATAGGGCAGAAGCACCTAGGGTCCTCTCTTTTTTTTTTTTTTTTTTTTTTAATAAACAATTTAATTATATTTAGGGTATAGCAGGGCGCTGGCGCAGGGCAGGGCGCTGGCGCAGGGCAGGGCGCGGGCGCAGGGCAGGGCGCTGGCGCAGGGCAGGGCGTCAGCGCGCGCAGGGCAGGGCGCTGGCGCAGGTTGCAGGGGCAGGACGCGCGGGCTGCAGGGGCGCCGCGCTGGCTGCAAAGGCAGCTCGTACGGGCTGCAGGGGCCGCGCGGACGGGCTGCAGAGGCGGCGCGCGGGCTCCAGGGGCGACGCGCGGGCTGCAGGGTCCGCGAGGACGGGCTGCAGAGGCGGCGCGGGGGCTCCAGGGGCGACGCGCGGGCTGCAGGGTCCGCGAGGACGGGCTGCAGAGGCGGCGCGCGGGCTCCAGGGGCGACGCGCGGGCTGCAGGGTCCGCGAGGACGGGCTGCAGAGGCGGCGCGCGGGCTCCAGGGGCGACGCGCGGGCTGCAGGGTCCGCGAGGACGGGCTGCAGAGGCGGCGCGCGGGCTCCAGGGGCGACGTGCGGGCTGCAGGGTCCGCGAGGACGGGCTGCAGAGGCGGCGCGCGGGCTCCAGGGGCGACGCGCGGGCTGCAGGGTCCGCGAGGACGGGCTGCACAGGCGGCGCGCGGGCTCCAGGGGCGACGCGCGGGCTGGCTGCAGAGGCGACGCGCGGCTGCAGGGGCAGCGTGAACGGGCTGCAGGGGCAGCGTACGGGCTGAAGGAGCAGCGCGCGGGCCACAGGGGCAGGCGCGGCTGCAGGGGCAGCACGGTAGCAGGGGCGAGCACGGCTGCAAGGGGCAGCACGGTCGTAGGGGCGAGCACGGCTGCAGGGGCAGCGCGGTCACAGGGGCAGCGCACCGGCTGCAAGGGTCGCGACAGTGAGAGCTAGGGGCGCCAGCGCGCTGGCTACTGTGTAGGGCGTGGCGCTACCACTAGGCGGAACGGTGGGCCCATGTAGGAACGGTTCCTACTCTGATAACATGTCAAGAATACAACTAGGAATGATGGATTGGACTAGGCAAGAGGTGAGTACAAGTAGGGGAAACCTAACCCTAAAGTGTTGTACTCACTAAGGAGTGACCCTACTGTAGCCTAGAGATACAATTGGAATCTGACAGACTCGCCCTGCATCAGAGCCGATCATCGAGCCCGAAAAAATTCTGAGCCATCGGATTCGACACCCCACAGGCATCAAGAGGATCGAGTTCCTCGTTCGCTGGAAGGACCGCACGCCAACTGAGGACAGCTGGGTGCCCCTAGCCAACATTGAAAACCACCCTGCCCTGCAAGTGTACCTGAGGAGCCGGGGTTTCCGCGATATACACGCACTCGCGTAGCGGAGGGGGCTTCTTGAGGGGGGGGGGGGGGTAGTGTAAGGAATTTTCTCGACATTCCTTAGCGCATCCTACAACATCGCGTACAGCAACAGCCGTTGTTCGCCCGTTACTGCTAACGGGGCTTCGCCAACTTCGCGCGCACTGTTTCACCAAACCTCGCACTGCTGGAGCAGCCGAGCCGGCCTACGCTTCGGGTCTAGCCCGAACCTCGTGCCAGCATAGCAGTAGTTAGCTCGCACGCACCGCGTTACCGTTTGCATGTTTCGCGTATAAATGTTTGCTCACGCCTTCGCTCACATTTTGTACTCGTTTGACAACTTAGTGCAATCCTCGCTACCTCGATTCATTGCACCCGTAACAAATATGAACATATACATATGATATAGTAAATGCACAATCATTTTTGTGGAGAAATCCCTGCAGCCGCAGCTTGAATAGAAGCCAGCTTTGTTCTCTCCACTTGCAATGCCTCACTATCTGGTGGATAGTGTGCGCAAAGAATCTGGTACACATGTTGGGATAGATGGAGGGGGGCAGAAAGAGAGACAGGAAAGGGGGAAGACAAAGGAGAGAAGAAAGTGAATGTATGCATGGAAAGGCGATTGAAGTAAAGCCAGTTTGAGGAGAAATCAGGGTTTGAAACGCTATAATTTATAAGGTAATCCATTATGAAACAGGTTGGTACCAATTGTTATACGCACCGTCAAGGCCGCTTGGCAGTGCTCCATGGCTTGTTTGAAATTACCGAAGCGGCAACATAGGAGTGCCATAACGTCTTCCGCCTGTCGTTCAACCATGCACAGTGCACGTTCATGCCACACAAACACGACCAGTGCATGCCATGCCACACAATCATGCACAGTGCAAGTTCATACCTCACAATGATAAACAATGCATGCCACACAAGAATGCACAGTGCAGGTTCATGCCACACAAGCAGGAATGGTGCATGGCACACACATGCACTTATATGCCACAGTAGCACGAGTGCACGCACGCACGCACGCACGCACGCACGCACGCACGCACGCACGCACGCACGCACGCACGCACGCACGCACGCACGCACGCACGCACACGCGCGCACACACACACATAAATTCATGCAAAGAGGCCCACACACCAGATCTTTAAGAAGAGGAGGTGAAGAGGATAAATACAAGGAAGGCAGGAAGGGCATGTGATCGTACCTCGGCGAGAGTGCAGTTGAGAGTTGGGTGATTGTACCTTTGCCAGAGTGCGGTTGAGTGGGTGACCGTACCTCGGCAAGCGAGCGGTTGAGTGGGTGCAAGCGGTGCCGGAGAGAATCCAACAGCTAATGCAGGGGAAAGGGATTTTGAGGCAACGTCACCAGAGAGCGGTTGAGCGAGGTTCTGAGGGTACCTCTGCCAGAGTGCGGTTGAGTGGGTGCAAGCGGTGCCGGAGAGAATCCAACAGCCCGTTTTCGAGGCGCCTGTTACTGAGGTGCCACACAAACAGAAAGTGCATGTGATTGTACCTCGGCGAGAGTGCGGTTGAGTGGGTGCAACCGGTGCCGGAGAGAATCCAACAGCCGGGATGCACGAGAGAGGGTCGATGCTGACGGAGCAGCGGAGCTCTCACAGTCTCGTAGCCTGATGTGGGTGAGAGAGCAGCACCACATGGCATGGGGAAGAATGGTGTGGACAAATCCCAAGCGAGAGAGAGACGGCAAAGATGGAGCAGCAAAGCTCTCATTGCCTCGTAGCCTGATGCAGGTGACAGAACAACAAATGTTGTGGTGCAGAGTATGGACTTTTTCAAACAAACAAACCAACAAACAAAAGTGTAACTGCATCCCAACATCCCTGCCATACAGTTCTAAGAACCACTCGTACACCTCAGCAATTCTGCGACGCACTTGTTACCTTAGCAAGTCTGCTTTAATCGCATCCACTGTAGCAGCCAGCTTCATCACCCTCTCTGCTTCCTCAACATCTCCACAACCCTCTTTGTTGGAGTCATTTTTTTAGATTCTCAAAAGAACTCTTACCTCAGCAAGTCTACTTTAATCGCATCCACTGTCGCAGCCAGCTTCATCCCCCACTCTGCTTCCTCAACCCCTGCACCCTCTACAGACTCTCCTTCACTTGTCACTTTCTTCCTCCTCCCACCCTTGCCACCTCCTCCCTCCTTCCTCTCCTTCTCAAAGAGTCCGCATCCGCAACCCATACACTTCCAACCACTGCCACCGGCCAGCCCTGGTACCACACCACTCTCCCCACATCCCTTGGCATGACACCGGTAGCCTCGGAGGCACAGGTCCGGAAAAGCTCGGGCAGGTTCGGTGCAGGCTCGGCAGGAGCACTGGAAGAAGTACCTCTGGCGGAGCCAGGTTTGGCGTTCCGAAGCTGTCTTCTCCCCAGCCTGAGCTCCGTAACCAATGCTGAGCTCTTGGCCCGGAAGGACAGGTTCGGTAGTTCGAGCCACTAAAAGACGACCGTAGAAAAGAGAAGATAAAGGGAGAGAAGAGGAGGAGAGACTAGGGAGTGGGGGTGTGAGTGAATGAATTTGGAGATCAGAGGAAGGAGAGGAGGGCGAGGGAGCAGAGAGGAGAGGAGAGGAGGGACTGATGGGAGGGGTGGAAGGCGAGAGAGGGAGAGGAGAGCGAGGGAATGAAGGAGGAAGGAGTGAGGAGGGGAAGGAGAGGGAGACGTTGGGATGGCAGCTGTGGTTGAAAAGCGATGCAGAGAGGTAGAGGGCTTGGGCGATGGGCACCTGATGCAGGAATTGATACAAATGGTGGGAGTGAGAGAAAGGAAAGCGAGTAAGCTAAAGTGAAGCAGGGAGGTAGATTAAGCATGGAAATGAGGCGTAGAATGTTTGGATCCTTTCAAGGTCAATCGGAGCGTTACGATCTCTCATGTGGCCCAGATTGAACCTGAGAATGCTTCAACCTGGGCCGCACGAGAGATTCTTAAGTTTTCTCAGATTTGAGTGAATCTGAGGGCAAACCCAGGAGAGAGAGAGAGATATATAATTTACTTGTCATAAATGAATGGAACTGAGAAGAATCAGCTGAGGCATAGAACGGTGAGAGTTTCTCAGAGACATGCTCTACAGAGCTTTGAAGGGGCTCAGCAGAGCTTTGAAGGGGCTCAGCAGCGCTTTGAAGGGGCTCAGCAGTGCTTTGAAGGGGCTCAGCAGCGCTTTGAAGGGGCTCAGCAGCGCTTTGAAGGGGCTCAGCAGCGCTTTGAAGGGGCTCAGCAGAGCTTTGAAGGGGCTCAGCAGCGCTTTGAAGGGGCTCAGCAGTGCTTTGAAGGGGCTCAGCAGCGCTTTGAAGGGGCTCAGCAGCGCTTTGAAGGGGCTCAGCAGCGCTTTGAAGGGGCTCAGCAGCGCTTTGAACGGGCTCAGCAGCGCTTTGAAGGGGCTCAGCAGCGCTTTGAAGGGGCTCAGCAGCGCTTTGAAGGGGCTCAGCAGCGCTTTGAAGGGGCTCAGCAGAGCTTTGAAGGGGCTCAGCAGCGCTTTGAAGGGGCTCAGCAGTGCTTTGAAGGGGCTCAGCAGCGCTTTGAAGGGGCTCAGCAGCGCTTTGAAGGGGCTCAGCAGCGCTTTGAAGGGGCTCAGCAGCGCTTTGAACGGGCTCAGCAGCGCTTTGAAGGGGCTCAGCAGCGCTTTGAAGGGGCTCAGCAGCGCTTTGAAGGGGCTCAGCAGCGCTTTGAAGGGGCTCAGCAGAGCTGTTAAACTGCTGTGGGTACAAAAGTGTACAGACATACCGAAAATGCAGTAGTGTGTGGTTACCAGCAACAGTGTGTTTGTGGTTACCAGCAGCAGTGTGTTTGTGGTTCCAGCACTAGCCTAGCCTGCTAACCACCAAAGATGCAGATACCTCTGCCGTACCTGTTCAATGCCCTCCAGTTGACCAGCAGTTCCGCCACTCTCCCTTTTGAGGCGCCTCAAAAGTCCTCCCTTTTTGAGGCGCCTGGAAAAGTTACCTCACGGTTACCACTGCCACTGCCGTACCTGTTCAATCCCCTCCAGTTGACCAGCAGAGCCGCCACTCTCCCCTCCTTGCACTCGGCTCACTGCCACCGCATTGAACCGCAGTTTACCCAGCACCACCAGCACTTGGAGACTTGACACTCTGAAGTGGCTCAATTGCTGAACAAGAGAAGAGACATGGTGCTGCTGCTGCTGTTGCTCCTGCTGATGCTGATACTGCTGCTGCTGCTCTTTCCACTTGTCATTCCCCCTTGCACGTGCTAGTTCCCGAGAAACTGCAGCGAGGGAGGAGTTGACGCAATGGGAAGTGACTATAGCGAGCAGAGCTAGACGGATAAACTCATCCTCCGGCCATACCTGGCCTATCCGCACCTCTTTTCCTTCTCCTTTCCCTTCTCCCAGCCCATCTCCCCTCCCTTCTCCCCTTTCATCCTCCACATCTTTGACCTCCTCTCCCTTTCCTTGCTTCTTCTCTCCCTTCTCTTGATCTTCCTGTTCCTTCTCTTGCCCCTCTCCCTCTCCTCTACTACTGCAAAGAAGCAATGATGAAGGAGGCAGCGACCCCAGATGATGACACAAGGAATCCAACCCCCTCCCTCTCATTCCCAGCCCTCTTCTTCCTTCCACACCCACATTCATCCTTCCCTCACGCTGCTCTAATCCGCCCTTACCCAATCCCACCTGCCCCAGTCCCACCTGCCCCACCACCCTACCAGCCAAGCACGCCTCTACCGGCAAGGCAGCATGCCAGCTGCTGCCGCCACACTCCCCCGAATGCTCCCCCCACCGGGTAACACCTGCCCTCCACCCCGGCTGTAGCAGCTCTGCTGCTGTAGCACCTGTATCTCCCCCATTTTCTAACGCGGTTGTAGCACCTGTATCCGTAGCAGAGGCAGCATCTGTAGCAGGTGGGGCATTTGTAGCAGCCGTGGAATCTGTAGCAGAGGCAGCATCTGTGGCAGAAGAGGCAGCATCCGTAGCAGGTGGGGCATTTGTAGCAGCTGTGGAATCTGTAGCAGAGGCAGCATCTGTGGCAGTAGAAGCAGCATCTGTAATGGACGTTGCCACTCCCAGAGCCATAGCAGCGCAGAGCGGGCGGCAGAAGAGGGCAAAGGAGCAGCCAGGGCAGGGGAAGGGGTTGGTGGGGAGGGGCAGCAGGCAGTGGTGGCAGCAGGAGGAGCGGTGGGGCTTCAAGAGGGCCTGGTGGGAAGAAGGGAGGCAGAACGAAGGCAGGAGGAGATAGTACGACTTTGGGTTGAATAGGCTGTTTGGAGGGGAGGGGCAGCAGGCAGTGGTGGCAGCAGGAGGAGCGGTGCGGCTTCAAGAGGGCCTGGTGGGAAGAGGGAGGGACGAAAGGTAGGCAGAGACGCAATGAGAGGGCGAAGGAACAGCCGGGGCAGGGGAAGGGGTTGGTGGGGAGGGGCAGCAGGCAGTGGTGGCAGCAGGAGGAGTGGTGCGGCTTCAAGAGCGCCTGGTGGGAAGAAGGGAGGCAGAACGAAGGCAGGAGGAGATAGTACGACTTTTGGGTTGAATAGACTGTTTGGAGGGGAGGGGCAGCAGGCAGTGGTGGCAGCAGGAGGAGCGGTGCGGCTTCAACAGGGCCTGATGGGAAGAAGGGAGGAGGGAGGATGGAGGAGGGAGTAAGGACGAGGGAGAAGGGAGGAGAGGGGAAGGGAGTGAGAGAGGCACTGAGACGGTAAGGCCACAGAGGCTAGGTGATCGTGATGCAAGCAGAGAGAACCGCACACAAGTGAGAGAGCAAGGAAACACCAAACTCACCGCGGCTAACGGTTCTTCGAGTAGCACCACAGTGCCAGATGGCAAGCCGAGAGAGCCAGCGCATGGAGTGGTTTTGGTCGCCGTGTTGATTCTGCGGTCGTCTGACTTTTGAGAACTCTCAAAAGCCCCATTGCCGCCTGCCGCACTGCTTCCGCTGCTTGTTGCTTCGATTCTCAGGCCCCACCCTGCGTCTGAGGGTTGGGTAAGTCTCGCATGAGTGTGGTCGATGGCACTGGCAGCGCCAGTGCTTGTTAGGTAAGGCTCTGTCGTGTCTTGAGGCATCTCAATATTTGCAGGGTTTTTAGAGTCTGGTGCAGTGCCAGTAGGGCCTGTAGGATGAAGAGGAGAGTTCCTTTCGGCTGTTCCTCTGTGCCTGAAGGGTTCCACTTGCGGATGTAACCATGCAGTTACCACTGCTCCGTGACTGCCCCTGGCTGCTGTTTCTGTGTCTAGTGCTGCTGCTGGTGCTGCTGCTGACGCTGCCGCTGGCACTGCTCCTTGCCTGACTGCTGCTGTTTCTCCGCTTGTTGCAGCTTCCTCGTTTACTGGTGTTAACCGTTTCTCTCCTGTTGTTGTTAAGGTTTCCTCCTTTTGCTCATCTACAGCCTTCTTCAACTCGTCAGCAATTTTCTTTGCCCCAGGTCGGTTCCCAGCCGCCTCCTCCAATAGGAGAGCTCTCTTCAAGTCAGTGACTGCAGCGTGATAGTTCTTCCGGGCAGCCCGAATACATCCTCTGCGAAACCAAGCCTGATGTAATGTAAGAGTAAGAGAACGGCAAGGCATGGAGGGGCGTGGGAAGGCATAATCATCGCATGCCATGGTGCTTCACAGTGAAAGCAAGGCGTGAATCATACTTATGGCATGAGATGTGGCATGGCATGAAATATGGCATGGCAAGAGATATCGCATGGCATGTGATGGCATGGCATGAGACATGGCATGGTATGATGAGACATGTGGCATGGCATGAGATATGGCATGGCATGGCACCTACCTTGCAGTAAGATGGAGACAGGTGGATGGCATGGGAGCAGTCCTCCTCACCCTCCCTTAGCTGTCCTATTTTCTGAGACATGTTGTATCGCATGTGTACAACAGTGGTTGTACACATGCGCACACACACACACACACACACACACGCACACGCACACGCACAAATAAATACGCATACACATGGGCATCCATGACGAATTAGCAAGTGGAGCACACAGAATGGCGACAACAAGGAGAAGAACTCATATGAACTCTAGACGAGGCTTTCACTCACATGCAGACACGTGGAGATTCAGGGCCACTGACATGCAGACACGTGGCAATTTAGGGCCAGTTACATGCAGACACGTGGCAAGTTAGGGCCACTCACATGCAGACACGTGAAGATTCAGGGCCACTTACATGCAGACACGTGGCAAGTTAGGGCCACTCACATGCAGACACGTGGCAAGTTAGGGCCACTCACATGCAGACACGTGGCACGATTGGTGAAGAGCACCGCCAGCAGGTCAGGTGAGTATAGAGGCGCGTACTGAAGGGCCTGCAGAGAGGCAGCACAACCAAAACGGAACAACAATCGCAAACGAGATGGAGAAGCAGGAGAACTCTGTTTTGAGGCGCCTTATAATGCGTACTGAAGAGCGTGCAAGGAGCCAACACAAACCAAAGGGGATGAGGAGGACCACAAGAACAGGGCGTATGAAGGACTTTCGGGTTTCTGAGAACTCTGAAGACTTACAGCCTGCAGCCTCCAGGCTACAGCCTCTTACCTTGCTGTAGCAAGCTACAGCCTCTTACCTTGCTGTAGCAAGCTACAGCCTCTTACCTTGCTGTAGCCAGCTACAGCCTCGGCGTACTTCTGCTCTCCAAACGCGCGGCTCCCTGCGGTTTTGGCCTCACCGGTCACTGCGCTGTCCTTGGCGCAAGGGCCTTGGCGGTCAGTGAGTGGAGCGATCAGCTGCATGGAGGGAGAAGGCACATCAAACAGGAGTTTTGAAAATATTATATAGCTTGGATAAGTGGTTGCCTGCGGTCTTGGCCTCACCCGTTGTTGCACTGTCCTTGGCGCAAGGGCCTTGGCGGTCAGTGAGCGGTGCAATCAGCTGCACAAAGCAAAGTGGAAACATTACAATGCGAGTCTGTACATAGATATTTAAGTTCACTTCATGACATAAAAAAAAAAAAAAAAAAAAACAAAGAGACTGCACAGGGCCCTTTCCCTACAAGTGAGCGGAGATACCCTATGCACGGGAAAAAAACGCATTCTAGGGGGAGCGTGGACCCGTTGGCTTATAAACTGGCAGTTGCGGCTTGTAACGAGGATAGCTTGACAGCCCATGTCACCTGATCGAACACTCGCCGGTGCGCGGACTCCTCGAGAAGGCTCCTCTCAATGGCCGCAAAACCCGCCAAGGGCCGGTGCGCGGAGAGAGACGCTTTCACTTGGTCGAGCAGCGACGGCGACAAGAGTCGCTGTAACGCGTCCATTGCGCGCCGAGTTGGAGAAGGGGTCACGTCTAAGAGGTGAATGAACGGACAAAATTGGCAGAGAAATTTATGATACACGAGCAGCCGCTGAATTGAACTGGCCGTCCCTCGCAGTGGTAATGCAGAATTGAACAAAGCGCGGAGTTCTCTAAGGGCGTATTCCTGGATTCGGGTCATCCAGGCTTCGGGTCATCCCGAAATAAATTTCCCGAACCGCGGGACTTCCGACTCGAGCTTCGGGTTTTCCGATCGAGATTTGGCGAGCTTCGGCGATGGGGTGTTCGAAACTGAGTTTGGCCTGAGTAAAAATTTCGCTCTACTGATGTGCGACAATTCTGATTGCACGACTAATTTCATCCAATTTGTACAGCAACATTGAACATTGCAGTCAGGAAAACTGTCGCGTAAAAATCGCAATCGATCGCCAGCCAGATCTGGCGATCGTAGCTCAAAGTGACGAGACTAACGAATAAGGGTTTCCATCTAAATTTCTTCCGAAACAATTCGCCGTCAAATTTGGCGTGTTGACCCGAGCTGCTGTATTACAGCTCGTGTCTTCCCATAACTTCGGATGACTCGAAGAGCGGGTGACCCGAAGCCAGGAATACGCCCTGAGGAGCAGAGGTCCACTGCGGCCAAATTTGTGCGTCACTGGATTCGATGTCCGCGGTAGTAGCGCTTACACATGCAGTCAAAAGTTTAATTGACAAAGTAAACATGCTCTAGGATAAACTACTACGGTACTAGGAAAACAATCAGACAAGTAGCTACAAGCAAGGGGGTGTAGTCAGACAAATATCCCTAGGTAAGCTACCAAGACTTTGTAGCAACTTAACGCCTGAGATCTCGTCCTACAGAAAAAGATATCGATCATCACATCTGATTCGGCTGTGCATCTGAGTTAGGTATGTTCCATCCTCCTCCCTCCCTGCATTGCTCCCTCCCTCCGTCCCTCTCACCATTCCTTCCTTTCCCCCTTACCCAATTCCCCCATCTCCCCCATTTCCCTGCCCCACCTGCAGACACCACTCCATCGCTTCCCACCGTTCTTTGCTCCTCCCCCCTACTTCAGCTTTGCAGCTTTCCCTCTCCCTCTCCCTCGTCCCCGCCCGCGTCCCCTCCCTCTCCCTCTTCCCCCACCCACCATCTCCCCAGCCTCACTATTCCCATCCTCTTCCCCACCCTCCCCCTCCCCTCCTCCCTCCTCCTCCATCCCCTCCCCCTCCTCCACCTCTTCCTCCTCACCCCCACGCCTCCTCTTCTTACTCCTCCCCTCCTCATCCACACTCGCCATACTCCCCGATTCACCCTCCAACGCCCAAGCCCCTCCACTCGCCTCCCCTCTCCTCCCTCCTCGCCCTCCCCCTCTGGCTCCCCTCCTCCCTCCCCTCCCCCTCTTTGCACCACTCCTAACCGAACTAGTAGGTGACCCTACCCCTCCTCCTGCACTCACCCCCTGGGACTCCGACCCTGCTTTCCTAGCAGATCGCCTCACCGGCTTATCCACCTCCTCCCCTGCAACCCCGTCCGCTTCCCCAGCCCTGCCTCTGCGCCTCATGAGCCCAGATGGTGTCTGGCTTCCCGCAGGCGCTCTGACTGGTGTGGCAGGTTCGGCTGCAGCACCAGGGCCGGCTGTAGCGGCGCTTACTGCAGCTGCAGTTCCTGCTACAGCTGCTACAGCCAGATGAGCTTCAACTTCCACCACACCTACTGCCACTCCAGCACCAGAACCAGCACCAACACCATCCGCCTGCTCCTCCCCAGCAGCCCGCACAGCAGCAGCAGCAGCAGAAACCACCACCCCAGTAACAGCCACACCAGCAGCAACATCTGCTGGCTCATCTTCCATCCCCTCCGCATCCCTGAATGCCTCATCATCTTCCCCTGCAGCATCACCATCCGCATACCCATCAGTAGTGTCAGCATCAGGAACGCCCTCCCCATCGTCCTTCTCTCCCTCCTCACCTTCCTTGCTTGCATCCCTCTCCTCCTCATCCATACCTGAAGGACCCGCACCACCAGGGGACTTGCTACCACCAGCAGCACCACCACCTCCGCCCCACAGACTAGCCAGACCAAACGCCGTTTTCCTGCATTGCTCCAATGCCCAGTTTCGTCGCGGCTTTGGAGGTTCGGTCATGGGCACAGCAGCAGGAGCAGCGGCATATGTGGCAGCTGCTGCAGCAGCAAGCGCAGAGGTAGGAGTGGATAAGAGAGCCGATTTAGCCCCTGTTTCCTTTCCAGGAGTAGTAAACAAGCCCATCTCTCGATCTACTGCTGCTGCTGCTACCTCTGCTGCCTCTTCTGCTGCTGCTGCTGCTGCTGCTGCAACAACTGTTGCTGGCACCTGAGATTTCGCTTGAGCCTGGCCAGGAGAGGCCAGCAGGGAGCTCTCCATGGTGGCGAGTTCGGACTTGAGCACACGGAGCCGTTCGGCCTCCCTTGCCATGCCCTCTCGCTCCATCTCCACTGACCGACGCTGAGCCTGCTCCACATAAAAGGCGGTGTGGGTAGATCAGATGCGGTGGGATGGGTTGAAGGGGAGTGGTGTGGAGTGGGGTGGGTGGGGAAGGATGGGGTGGGGTGAGGCAAGGGCCGAAAGTATTTCATGCAGGAAGAACTGTTGAGGCACAAGCAAAAGCTTGCAAGAAAAAAAAAAAGAAAAAAAAAAAACAGGGAGAATCTCGAGCTTCAAAACAGCCCCTCTCACCTCGAGCTCCTTCTTCTCCATCTCGAAATCCTCCCGCTCCTCATTCAGCCTCTCCCTCGCAAACCGCAGCTGCTCCGCCAAATCATGCCCGCCAGCAATCCAGCTCGACCCGCCCGACAGCCTCCTCTCCGCACTCTCCGTCCGCCTCCCCGCCTCCTTCTCCTCCTTCAGCTGCCGCCGCTGCTGGTGCAGCTCCTGAATCATCTTCTGCACGTCATCCCAGTGCCGCTGCGTATCCGCACGGTCCCGCGCGACCGCCTCTCTCTCCCTCTCCATCTTCTTCCTCTCCTCTTCCACTGAAGCCTCCCACTCCTCCCGCCGCCGCCTCTGCTCCTCATCCAGCCTCCGGGATCGGCCCATCAAGTCCCGCTCCTTCTCCTGCCGCTCCTTCTCTGCAGCAGCTCTCTCCGACTCAATCCCTGCCAGCGTCGTCGCAACCTCCTCCTCAGCCTTTGCCCTGCGAGACACCAACTCCAGATTCTGCCGCTCCACTTCCTCCCTCTCTTCCTTCACCTTGGCCCGCTGCTTCTCCAGCTCCCTCAGCTCCCTCTCCTGCCGCCTTCTCAGTTGCTCCACCTGCAACACCTCTGCTTCCTTCTCCGCAATCTCTTTCTTAAGCTCCACCCGCTTCGCCACCATCTCCTCTCTCTGCCTCCTCAACTCCTCCCTCTCGCCTTCAATCCTCGCCCTCTCCTCTTCCACCCCAACCCGCTTCTCCTCCACCGCCTCCCTCATCCGCCGCAGCTTCGCCTTCTCCTCTTCCATCCGCGCCTCAAACTCCGCAATCCTCTCCGCGAGCCTATCAGCCTCTGCAGCAGCACGGGCAGCCTGCGCCGCAGCAGCCTCGTCCCTCTCCTTCTCAAGAGCAGCCCTCTGCTTCTCCCGCTCGCTCAGCAGCTCCCTCCCACCCTCCCGCACCTTCGCCTCCTCCACCCTCAACCGCGCCCTCTCCCTCTCCAACTCCTCCGTCTCCTCCCTCAGATGCGCCCGCTGCTCCTGAATGTTCCTCGACGCCTGGATCGCCTCCGCCTGCTGCTTCTCCAGCCCCTCAAGCTCTGCAATCCTCTCCCCAATCTCCCTCCTCTCCTTCTCCCTCTCCTGCCTCGCCACCTCCCTCTCCTGCTCAATCTTCCTCAGCAGCCCCTCGTTCCCTGCACGTTCAGCAGCTAGTTCCGCCCGTTCCGCAGCAGCGGCCGATCGCATCTTCTCCAGAAGCTCCTTCTCCTTCTCCAGCTCACTCGCTGCAGCACCAAGCTTCTCCCTCTCTGCAGCCACGCTCTCCCCAGCCTTCACGACTGCCTCCTGTTCCGCCCTCGCCCGAGCAGCAGCCACTCTTGCCCCTTCTGCTTCCCTCTCCGCAGCAGCCCTAGCTGCCTTCAGCTCAGCAGCAGCAGCCTTGGCTTCCGCCTGTTCCTTCTTCAACTCCCGTCTCTCCCCCGCCAACGCAACCCTCACCGTCCTCACCTCCTCCCTCGCCCCCACCACCTCTTCCTTCTCCAACCCGACCGCCTCCCTCTCCTTCCCCACAGCTGCTCTCTCTCTCGCCAACCTCGCACCCTCCTTCTCAATCTTCGCCTCAGCAGCAGCCTTCTCTTTCTCCACGGCCTCCCTCTCTCGCCTCGCCAGCGCAGCCACATCCAACCGCTCCCTATCCAGCCTTCCCAACGCAGCAGTCACTTCCGCCCGCTCTGCAACCAGCCCCTCCCGCAGCCTCTCCAGCTCCTCTCTCGCCCGCTCCGCCTTCACCCTCTCGCCTTGCACCTCCGCCTTCTCAGCCTGCAGCGCCTTAATCTCCCGCTCTAACTCAGCCTTCTGCTGCCCCAGCTTCACTCTCTCCGCCCTGCTCTCCGCCAGTTCCTGCCTTGTGCTGGTTCGTTCCTCCCGGGCCTTCTCCCGCTCCACCCGAACCTCCAGTAGCTTCTTCTGCACGCCCTCCTTCTCCTTCTCCACCCTCTCCCGCTCCTTCAGCAGTGCTGCTCTCTCTTTCGCCAGAGACTCTCTATCCCGCTTCACCCCAGCCGAATCTCTCTCAACCTTCTCCAGCGCCAGTTTCCTATCCACTGCCACACTCTCCCTCTCCAAAGCGATCTTCTTAACAAAGTCTTTCCTCTCTTCATCCAGCCTCGCCCTCTCCTGCAACACCTCCTTCCTCTCCGCTTCCAGGGCATCCATCTCTCCTTTAGCCTTCTCCCACGCGTTCCTTGCCTCCTTCGCGCCTCTCTCAGCAGCTGCCCGTTCCTCCACGAGAGATTTTATCGCTGCCCGATGCTCGGCTGCTTCTGCCCTAGCAGCTTCCCTCTCCTCTCCCAGCAACCCCCTCTGCCTGTGAACCTCCGCAAGGGCCTTTTTGACTTCTTCAGCCTCTCTCTCCACCTGCTCCCTCTCTTTCCCCACTGCCTCCCTCTCAATCCGAACTTTCTCCCTCTCCGCCTCTCCCCTCGCCGCAACCTCCTGCTTTTCCATCTCCACTCCTTCCCGTTCCATCTCCACCACTCTCTTCTGCTGCTCCACCTCGGCTTCCATCCTCTCCCTCTCCCTCACAAGCCCCTCCTGCGCCCGAACCACCTCCTCCTCCCTACCCGCTACAGCCGCCAGAGCAACCTCTACTTCACCCATCCGTGCCGCTACAGCCGCCTCTCTCCTCTTCAGCTGCTCAGCCGCCGCTTCAAGAGCCAATTCCCGGGCGCTCACGTCCTCGAGTCTGCTTGCAAGCTCAACCTCCTCTGATTGTAACGCAGCTCTCTGAAAAGCGAGCTCTTCCATCTCCCTCTCCACCTGCTGCCTGCCCTCGTCCACTTCCTTTCTCGCCCGTGCCACGTCATCCGCCTCCTCTCCCAGCCTCACCCTCTCTTCCCGCGCCTCTGCTACCACCCTCTTCCTCTCCTCTTCCACGCCTTCTCGCTCTGCCCGCACGGCGCTCAGCATCTGCTGATGCTGCTCTTTCCACCCTTCCTTCTCCTGCTCCAGTTCCTTCCGACCGTTCTCCACCGCTGCTAACATCTCCCGCACCTTCTCCTCTTCCGCTTTCACCGCCTTCCCCTTCCGCTCCAGAGCCGCATGCTGCTGCGACAGCTGCGCAAACACCGTCTTCTTCTCCTCAATCTCCTTCCTCAGCTCGCCCCGTTCCGCCTTCAGCGCCTCTCTCTGCCCTTCCACCTCCGCAGACGCTTCTTCCAACGCCGTTCTCTCCTCACGCATCTTCTCCCGTTCCCTCTCCACCTCCTCCCTCTCCGCCTCGACCTCCTCTCCCTTCCTCCTCCACTCCTCCGCAATCCCTCTCCTCTCCTCCTCCAACTCCTCTCTCCCTTTCTCCAACCTCGCTTCAACCTCCCTCTCTTTCCCCCTCACCTCCTCCCTCTCCTTCTGGACATCAGCTAGTGCTTTCTCCCTCAGTTTCCCAACTTCTACCTCCATCCTCTCCACCTCTTCCCTCTGCCCATCCAGCACCTCCCACTCCTTCTCAAACCTCTCCTTTTCCGCTCTCAGCTCCTGCACGCGCCTCTCCGCCTCCTCAAGCCGCTCCTGCGCCCGCTTCATTTCCGCCTGTGCTGCCTCCCGCTTGACCCCCGACTCCGCTATAGTCTGCTCCGCTTTGGCCAGAGCAGCTGCTGCTTGGCGCTTCTCCGCCTCTGCATCAGCTCGCTCAGAGCGAACCCTCTCCCGAAGGTCCTCCAGCTGCTGCTTCTCTGCGTCCGCCTCCGCTCTCCCCATTTCCAACCTGCCAACACACCAGTGCAGTCCAGGGGACATGCAAGAAACATAAAACATGAGACACCAGCCATGAGAAAAAGCGGTGTGTGCAACGTCAAGTCAAGCTGCAACACAACCAAACAACAAATCCCCAACCCTTCACACTTCCCGCATCCAAAGCACCACCTCGTATTGTCCACCTCCTTTCTCCCCCCCGCCACCCCCCTCCCTTCTTTCCCTCGTTGCCCCCTTCTCCCCCCCCCCCCCCCCCCCCCCCATCTGAAGACTCACCGCCTCAACTCCCTGTCCACCTGCGCCTGCCTCTGCTCCACCTCCCTCTCCCTGCTCGCCGCCTGCAGCACCAGCGCCTCCGCCTCCGCCATGCGCTCCGCCGCCCTCTCCGCGCGTCTCTGCGCGCCCTGCTCGCGCTGCTCCACCAGCTCCTCCTTCTGCGCCACCTGCGCGCGCAGCCCTTCCACCTCGTTCTCCTGCGCCTGCACCCTCTCCCGCTCCGCCTGCCAAGCAACCAATCAACATAACAGCCCATACGTCAAGAACAGGTCAGCAAGTGAACCGCGCAAGAGAAGACGTAACATTCCTAAGCTACTGGAGAGCCATATCGCCACAAGTCATAAGCAGCTCTCATCTCACCAGCAGCGCGCGCTCCTTGCTCTGCAGCTCCGCCTGCATCTCCTCCAGCTGCGCGCGCCCACTGCTCAGCGACGCTTCCACCTCGTCCAGCCCCTTCTTCTCGCTCGCCTGCTCGAAGTGCAGCAGACACAGAACAAGCAGACGCATACAGACAAGCAGAGGCACACGAGATAAGACAGACAACATGCTCTCATATACAAATCCCACCACCGCCCTTGAAATCGTCCAGAACGGCTTCTCATATTGGAGTAACTCGGAGAATTCTTACCAGCAACTTGAAAAAACCCTAGAGGTTACGGTGACAACAAGATGTTCCTTCTCGAATCTCACCAGCTTGGCCTTGAGGTCGTCCAGCGCGGCCTGCCGCTTCCGCAGGCTCTCCTCCCACTCGCGCACCCTCTCCTGCTCGCTCGCCACGCGCAGCTCCACCTCCTTGCCGCGCATCTCCCTCGCCACCGCGTCCTGGTGCACACGCGCGAGGGAGAGCGGGGAGAGACACAGGGAGGAGAAGTACGGGGGGGGACGAGGGAGATGGGACAAGAGAGAGGGACAAGGGAGAGGGACAAGGGAGAGGGACAAGGGAGAGGGACAAGGGAGAGGGACAGGGTTAAGAATTCAGCGAGAGAAGAAACGTAGAGAAAAAGACACAGTGGAGGCGAGAAGAGGCAGGTGAGCAGGTAGGAGACAAAGGCCAACTAACACCCACCCCTGTGCAAAGCCCACCCCCAATGCCAGACCCACCCTGTGCTTCGTCAGCAGCAGCAGCAGCAGCATACCTGTTCGCGCGCCACCAGCAGGTCCTCCTGCACCGCCAGCTCGCCCTCCCGCTTCGCCAGCGCCACCTTCCCCTCCGCCACCGCCTGCGCCTCCTTCCGAGCGCGCTCCTCCGCCTCCCGCGCCTGCTCCCGCGCGCCCTCCAGCCGCCGCGCCTCCTCCTGCAGCGCCGCCTTGCGCGCCTCCGCCTGCTGCTCCGCCGCCTTGAGCTCGTCCATCGCTGCGCCTATGCGCGCCTCCCGTGTATCCAGCATCTTCTCGCTCTGCGCGCCCGTAATCACACCACACGCACGCACGCACGCACACCCACCCACCCTCCCACCAACCCCCCCCAAACTCCCCCCCCACACACACACGCACACACACGCAAACACACAGACACACACACAGACACACAAACGCACGCACGCACGCACGCACGCACGCACGTCAAGCAGTCAGCAGCCGTCACTTCCAACAGCGTGTCCACGAAACCACATTACACGTCAAGAAAACACACTTCACTGCCGGCCATTCCCCCTCCAATCCCATGCACAAACATCTGACCCCCTTACCTCCAGTATCTTCGCATTTCGCTGCTTCAGCTTGGCCTCCCAGTCACTCAGTGACCCTTTCTGTGCCTCCAACTCCTGCGCCTTGGCCTCCAGCCTGCAAACGCCACAAGCCATCAAACGGCGCACACACCATTCATAAGTCAATATGATTAATCACATCAGAACGTAATAACAAAAAAATCAAAACAGAATTATACAAGGAGCCTGCGACGGGCTCCCAAAGCCGGGAAGCAGTTCACTCTAATTCAGAACCAAGCCGCCATTCTCGCAAACATCCACCCGAGAATCCCCCGATTCTTATTCCCCTCTCTCACCTGTCCTTCTCCGCCTGAACTTCGCGCCGGCCATTCGCCTCCCGGGCCTCCAGCTCCTGCTGCTTCCGCTCCGCCTCCGCGATCCGCCTGCTCGCCTCGCTCCTGCTCGCCTCCACCTGCCGGCTAGCCGCTTCCGCCGCCTGCAGCTTCTTCTCGGCGGCGGTCATGGTGGCGTTGGCCTCGTCCAGCGCCGTGCGCGCGTGCCTCTTCGTCTCCTCCACCTCCACCTGCAGCTCCTTGACTGCTCGCTCCATCTGCAGTGGAAAGGAGACAACGCAGGAGTTGTTTTTCCGCAATGCAGCTTCTCTTTTTTTTTTTGTCTTTGATTTTCCGTATTTGACTTTCCACCTCCACCTGCAGCTCCTTCACAGATCCCTCCAACTTGGGAATTCTAAAAAAACGCATGAAAGTGAGAACAGTAAAGGCGTCGCCCGACGGCCACGGCATTGAAACGGGGTGCATCATAAATGTCATCCGAACTTTTCGAATTTTAAGGCGCTTTACTTTCGAACATTATGAAAATCGATCTTGCTGAATAACGACAAAGAGCGCGGAAATGCACGGAAAAAAAGGACGGAGAGAGCGAGGAGGGAAGCAGACGGAGAGGGAAGAAGACGCGGCGAAAAGAGACGAGAAGGCGTACGCTTGCGACGCAGTCCTGCTCGATGGCGAGCGCGTCTTGTAGAGACTTCTCCCTCTCCTTCGCTTCCGCGAGTGCGACCCTGTGCGCAGTCGCTTCGCGCTGCAGCTCCGCTTCCGCCTCCTCCAGCGCCGCTCGCGCGTCCTCGTACTTGGGTAGCCACTTCTGACGCTCCATCAGCAACAGACCCATGTTGTACTGGTACTCGTAGAGCTGCCAGGAAGAATAACAAGTAAACGTTAAAAAAAAAAAAAAACCAACGAATATAAGAGACAATGACAATTTTGAGAGCGAAATACAAACAAAGTTAAACAAATCGATAGCTGAAAAAAAAAAAGGAGGAGCATTCGTCCAGAAGCGCATCACCACCAGAACAGATAATGCTGACGATTCCCGTTAACGGGTAAAACAGAAGCGCTTCTTATTACCTCTTGATCCAGCGAGTTCGCCTTCTCCATTAACGCGTCTCGCTCTTTCCGCAGAACTGCGACCTCGTCCAACCCTGACTCCCGGTATCGCTGCCAGACCTGCTCCTCCTCTTCGAGCCTCGTCTCCGCAACCGGGACAATGGCTCGGCTCTGCCTTGCAGCAGACCTGGGAGGAGCCGGCTTCAGGGACGCTGCTGCGATGGCAGCCAATGCATCTTTCGCCAAGGCTGGCGACGGATTGGCTCGCGAAATGGGGTTACCGTCGACGGTGACGATATCGGCTCCGTCGGCGGAAATGAAGCCTGGTGTGCTGTTTCTGCGTCTGGCGCTGCTTCCAGGTGCGGTTGACGTGTCAGGAGCCTTTGGTGTGGCATTCTTCTTAGAAGACTTCGGACCGTTGTGTTGAGGAGAATTGAGAGGAATGTTGTCAAAGGTAAGCCGAGTAGCGGTTGCTGAGATTGGCGAGAACGCCGAATACTGATTCTGATCCATGACGGAATCTGCTTCAGATCAGCAGAAACTTTACACAAGACCGTTAAGCGAGCCTCCAGATGAGAGATTTAAGAGCCAGGTACATAACCGTTTGTTAAGAAAACCATGACGCGAACGCGCACGGATAAAAACGGCTTGTTGAATGCCAGCGCTCCTATTCTATGGTTGCTAATGGTGCTGATAAGGAGAAATCTGAACAAGGTTATCTGAAACCGCTGAAACTCAGAAAACCCTAGAGATCTTCGGCTGGCTTCATGATATCAATCCTCCGCGAAAATGGATTTGTGTCACAGATGCTGTCAAAATTGGACAGAGATCAGGAAGGAGGGATCCGGCATTCTGTCAGTCCGTAACCAAATGTTTTCGCAGATTTTGGCGAAGGGAATGGAACTTCAAGGTGACGGCTTTGGAGTTTCGCCATTCCAATCGTCACAGGTGCTTGAAACTTGGCAGTCTATTCTGCCTGTCAGCAGCTTGCCGCGCTTTTCTGACAGGATGACTCGTTTGATAGTGCATCGGTAAGGTCTGCAAATTGCTTGGATAAGTGTAACATCTGATTTCTATATCGTTTCTTTTTTTTGAAATTTGCAGTGCCTCCTCCTCCAGCCTCGCATTGCACCCTGCAAATTTGCTGGCAAACCAGCCTTTCTGAGCTGGTCGAGTCGCCATCAAGAACTAGATTGCATCGCTCATAATCGTTCAAAACCTTGCACAACCTCGTCTCTATGGATTGGGATTCCTCCCTCCCAGCTTCAACCACATCGAAACAAGAAAGAAATCGCGCCTCGTTCACCAACATATTTCGCTTCACCCACACACCTTGCACTAACTGCTCAGGCACACAAGAGCCTACACATAAACCACTAACTGATGGAATATGACAAGTTCACAACACTCCAAACCTCTAGATTTAGGCCAGTTGCTGCCAACCGCACATATTATTCAGCTATGGTGGATCAGGCGCGGGGTGTTAGTATGTTCCAACGACGGCTTGTGCTGCTCGGAGCCGCACTGTTGCTCAATCTGGCAACTCACGCAACTGCCTCGTCATGGTTTCCCTGGTCTATGGCGAGTGAGTTTATTCCTCCTTGGATAATTATTTGGGTACAACTTCTCTCTCGGGTTCTAGCTCGATCCAGTGCTAACGGGGCCAACAGGTAAAAATATTGACGCAGGTGGTTCTTTAGAATTTCCGAAAGCCCATCCGCCATTCCCTTCTCCCCCACTTCTCCCCAACCCCCCCTCCCACCCACCCTTCCCCTCCAGCCCTCCATCCCGTGCGGCCCCTAACTCTCCATCCTTTCCTTATCACCTCTCGTTTTCTCGCCCTTCATCGAGTGAAAACCGTCTCGCTCTGCTCATGGATCGACTGCCCCGCAATTTCCCTGTATTCAATCCAAGTGTTGCATTTCGCCCGCCAAAGGCTCACAAACCAGTGACTCGAAGTGGGGATGCGACATCACCAGCGGGGAGTGGGTGGGCGGGAGGAACCTTCCGCTTTACACGGGAATGAACTGCCCGTACGTTCGCTCGGGTCAGAACTGCGAGAAGAACGGTCGGCTCGACATGTCGTTTCAGAAACTCAAATGGCGGGTACGCGTTACACTGCCCCTCGTTTAGTTTCAATTCCTCATTTGATATGGCTGGAATGATGCGGGATTGTAGGGGGCTCGTGCCGGCTTGTGAAATGATCCCATTCTTTATCTTCGTCGTTTCGATTTCTCCCTGATTTCCAGCCTCATACGTGTAAGACTCGGCGAATGACTCCCAAGTTACTGCGTAACCAACTTCGCGACAAGTTCGTTCTCGTGATCGGCGATAGCGTGGCGAAGAACTTCGCGGCGTCGGTGATGTGCGTGCTGCACTCGTCCAGTTGGAACCAGACGGAACGGTTCCAGTTTGAGAATCGGGGGAGCGTCGCACACGGCATGCAGGTGAGTCGCACACACACGGCATGCAGGTGAGTCACACACACACGGCATGCAGGTGAGTCACACACACACGGCATGCAGGTGAGTCACACACGACATGCAGGTGAGTCACACACGACATGCAGGTGAGTCGTACACTGTAACGCGCGTCGATGATGTGCGTGCTGCACTCGTCCAGCTGGAACCTGACGTTACGGTTCCAGTTTGAGAGCAGGGGGAGCGTCGCACACGGCATGCAGGTGACATGGGCAGTGAGTCGCAAAGGTGAGTCGTACATTACCATTACCTTCTCCAACCCACCCCACCACTCCAGCTGCATCAACCCCGTCAGATCCCTCGATACAACATCCGCGTCGCTTCAGTCACATCCAACTTCCTCAGCAACGCCACGGCCCTCCCGTCCCGTCTACCTCCTCCTCCTCCTCGCCTTTCCCTTCCCCTCCTCCAGGCGTGTGACTAATTCAATTTCTCCCCTCCCACCCTTCCCCCCAAACCGACCCAACCCCGCCAGATTCCTCGGTACAACATCCGCGTCGCTTCAGTCACATCCAACTTCCTCAGCAACGCCACGGCCCTCCCTTCAACCTCCTCCACCCCTTCGCCCTACTTCGGATCGCGAGTCAATCTGGACCAGCTACAGGACGACATTCTGAACCTCATGCCCCTTGCAGACCTTGTCGTTTTCGAGGCGACCAACTGGTGGACCTCTCGTGCGAACAAGTTCTTTATAGGAGACACCGAGTTATCTACAGTGTCCGTTACAGACGCCTACGAAATCGCTCTGCAAACACTGAAATCCTTCGTGGAGAGGGCACAGGAGCGTGCGTTCAAGGGCACGGCTGTGCTGCTGGGGGCGTCCCCTACGCACTATGAGCTGCCCCTGCCTGGTGTCCCTGGGGGGTCGTGTCAGGTCAACCAGAAGCTGACGTGGCTGCAGGTGAGGCGTAGGAAATGGGAGTCAGTGGGTAAGGTGTGTGGGTGTGAGGGAGTGAGGGCGTGACGGGGAGTGGGAGTGAGAGAGTGTGGTGGTATTTATGGGGCAACATGCGTCCATTGTGCAATTCTGGTATTCATGGTATTCCGGTGTTGCCATCGCTCCCCTATGACTGTGTAACCGTTCGGGTGTTGAGTTTCCTATTGCAGGCGCAAGAGATTCGACAGGGGGACACCAGTATGGAGGGGTTCAGAGAGGTGGAGAGGCGGGTGCTGTCTGGGTCGCCCATTCGATACCTGGATGTGGGGCCTATGAGCGACTCGCGACCCGATGGCCACATACAAAACTGGATGGATCCAGGTGAGACCCGCTTGAGGTGTTTAGAGAGGTGGAGAGGCGGGTGCTGTCCGGTTTTCCTATTGAATACTTGGATGTGGTGCCTCTGAGCGACTCACGATTGGATTGACACATACAAAATTGGATGGATCCGGGTGAGACCCTCTTGTGGATGATGATGATGATGATGATGGTGCAACTCTATTTGAGTGGAGAGGCGGGTGCTGTCCCGGTCTCCTATTTAATACCTGGTGGGTGGGTTCCCCTTGTGCTCATTTAGTTTTGTTGCTATTGGTGTGTGCAGGAGGGATCAGTGCATCCATGCGTGATGATTGTCGGCATTGGTGTGAAGGTGGAGTGACCGACGCATGGCTAGAGATGTTGTACAACACACTTCTATACTAGTGGATATTTACACTGGTACTAACATACACGTGGCTTCACCTTCTAAGAATGTCATGTGTCGATACACACACTAATGTGTTTTGCCTTTGACTTATTGTGGATGAAGGATGGTGTCAATAATTGTTGATATAACGTTTATTGCGTATACCAGCCAAGGCAATCATTTTGGGATTTTCCAACGTACCGGTAGTATGCCACACTGTTCAGTAGTAGGGCCAGGATCAGTGCTCGGAGTGGTAGATGTACAGTATGGCATATCCATTTGTTTGCAAAAAGCGACTATACATTGATAAGATCGTACACGCAAGTGTACAATCCTCGTGGATATTAAAACTAATCCTTCCCTGATCATTTGCCTGAACCCAGGGAATGCCACGTGCCTGATCCATTCGCGCGAATGCTTTTCTCGAGAACACCCAGCACACCAAAAGCAGCTGCCTTCTGCTGCGAGAAAGGCAGCAGCAAAGCCGTCAATAATCTAGTAGACTGCCTTTCTCGCCATCGATTGACTTCGCTTGCAGTCGCTTGCGGTCGCTGATCCTCCTGATGGCGACCCTTATTTTTTCGCTGCCCGTGGCCACGGCTCTGGCCAGCAGCCGCTTGAGTCGCGATCAACTCAGACCGAGGAGACGAGCAGTTACTGCTCAAGCCGGTGAGTGTGGCTTTTCTTTGTTAGTTTATTGATTTTCTCTCCTACATTGTATCTGACTCAGCTGGTTGCGATTTGACAAGACGCAGAAACTATGATATTTACATGCATTGAGAACTGAAGCAGGAACTCGATGACGTTTAGAAACAGTGTAGACTAGTGTATATACTTGAATGTTACGAAACTTTTAAGAGTCTTACAGAAGTATATAGCCATTATTGAAAGCTTCCTAAGGCCTTTCTCCTTGTCCCTGTGATGGCCAGGAGAAGTCTACCAACAAAGCAAAAAACGTCTAAACGGCGCGGTCGTATCCCACCCACCACCTCCTTATCCCCCTCCCCTTCCTCCACCACTCCCTTTCGTCCCTGTCAGGCGGGGACAGCACGTTCACGAGCCCCAAGGCGGGGGCTGTGGGGGTGAAGCGGCTGCAGGAGGGAGCTGCACCCGGCACATATTTCGGGCCCAAGTAAGTACCGCTGCTGCTGCCCTCAACCTTGCTCCACCTCGTCTTTTATCCTGAATATCGCCTGTTCTCATGTCACATTCTGTGTCATGTCAAGCGGTTTCAGAAGTTATGTGGGACCAGGTCACTTGTATGGTTGTCCTTAAAAAATTGTCGCTTCCGTGCGTGCGTGTGCATGTGTGTGTGTGTATGTGTGAATGTTTCATGTATGTCCCATGTGTGCATCATGTATGCACTCTGATCATGCATGCCTGTGCTGTGCGTGTGCATGCATGACATGTTGCTGCAGAATCGACAACGGGAAGCCAATCACTGTGGAGTTCGACCTTGGATCTGACACTGTAAGCTTAAACCCCGCGGGCCAAGAAGTTCAACCTTAGGAAGGTTGGTTGGGGCGAGCAATGCAATTGGCCAAGATTTTGGGTGCCAGGGTCACACTCAACCGTAGTTAGGAAGCTTGAACCAATTTGGGCTTTCTTGGCCCACGGGTTTGAGGATAGCAAAGCTCGGTTACTGAGGCGCCTCAAATGTGAGACGATATTCGAGGTGCCTGAGTGCCTCAACTCAGAGACAGAATCGACAACGGGAAGCCAATCACTGTGGAGTTCGACCTCGGATCTGACACTGTACGTCCAAACTCGGATCACAAACTTTGGATGTTACATGTTTTTTTTAAGCGCACCTTTAAGTTAAGGCCCTGGTAAAGTCCAGCCCAAAAATGCCTCTTCTTGCACCTACCAGCAAGTGTATACTCAATCCACTGCTACTGCATGCCACACCCTGTACCACTCGTGGCATTCACGGCAGATCACAGTGGAGTCAAGGGAAGGCGAGAACCTTCTGCATCTGGCCGAGAGATGTGGAGCTATGAAAGCCTCTGAGGTACTCATTCGTTCGTAGTGGTACTCATGCCAATAGCAAGAAAGCAATAGATAGCAAGAAACTCCTCAGCTAGTTGAGAGACATGGAGCCACACCACACAAGGATATAGGTTTGCCTTCCTTTCACCTCGACAACCTATGCCTTCTTTTTCCTCTTTTTCTTTTCTAGGCATTTCCCCACCCCCTCCCTCCTCCCTCACCTACTCACTTCCTCGTTGTCCCCCCCTCTTAACCCTCCCCGTCCACCTCTTCCCCCACTCCCCCGTTTCCGCTTTTGATACCAGGAGTTTTGTTTTGAAGGGACGTGCTGCCACTGTGAGATGGAGGTGGAGGGAGGAGCGAGTGAGGTAAGTTTCATTGCGATGTCACCCGGTTCCAGCATGCCCGTTTTCTTACGTAAGACCATTCTTTTTCATACATGTTGGGCAGCATCCACAAGCCACATGTGGCCGGTCTAGTGATTCACCTAGTGATACATTCACCATCGCTTCCATCCCATTCCCAGCTGTGATTGTATGCAAGCATGCATGCTTTCAAACGCAAGTATTGTGCCATGGGGCACCCTGACCTTATTTGGCAAAAGAAAGAAGGCCGACTAAAGAACCCGCTGATTTTTGCCATGTTTGGTTTAGACATCATTGTAAGGAACAATTCATGCATGCCGATCAGTCGCTATTTTCATCGCTTTTATTTGCCTGCAATCAATCAACCATATGAGTGTGTGCAGGCGGGGTCGTGTTTTGAGTCGACTCAAAACATATTCATGGCTTTTATTTGCCTGTAATCAATCAACCATATGCGTGTGTGCAGGCGGGGTATCGTGCCATGGGTGGTTCCGACCTCATCCGCAGCTGCATTTGCCCGGTGAGCTCTGAAAACCCTGTCAGCTGCATTTGCCCGCTGCAGAATGCAGTTTGTTGCGTACCCACGGCGAATGTTGTGGTTCCAACCTCATTCGCAGCTGCATTTTCCTGGTGAGCTGCAAAGATACTGTCAGCTGTATTTTCCAGCTGCAGACTGCAATTTTTGCCTACCCACTGCGTCTCCCCCCCCCGTCCCCCCACCCCCCCCCCCCCCCCCTCCCTCCCCAACTTTGCCCACTGGAAACAGCAGCTGCATTATGCCAGACGTGTTCCTAAGCCTATTCTTTTTTTTTTTTCTCTCTCTTTTTTTCCGTGAATGCTCTGTTCCCCCCTGGCCTTCCAGGTGCCGGGTCGTAACGGCGGAACCCTCAAAGTGCGCATTCTCAGTGAAGAGGACGTGTGGGGGGATGGCGTTCTGTAAAGCGTGGCTGGAGTATAGCTAGTGGCATTTTCAGGGTGACTAAGGAGGTTGTTTGTTGTCAGGGGGAGTGTGGTAAATGGTGTTTGGATAAGGGTGAGATGGGCGATGCTAGGAATGGCATGGCATCTGCTGGGTATTCTGGGCTCAAATGCACGGGAAGCGTGGCGGGAAAATGTGCTACCTTATGGTAAAGTGGTACCGTATGTTGGCAGATGTTGCCATGCAGTGTAGTCGGTTCACTAACTTGTTCCAATTTTCTTGCGCAGATCTCTCAATCAAGGCTTTCCCACAAGCGATACAAATATGCACACGGGTTCACAAACAACCCAGATACAAAAACAAAAAAACATACAAAACAGCAAGTCACAAGGTGGGCTGAAAGAAGGATAATAGACCTTTCTAACAAGCACAAGCGAGTCCCCGGTAACTCCTAAATCACTGTCTCCTAATAGGCAGCTCCAGTATAGACTGATTCAATATACACTCCTCTATTCACTGCTCCTTATTGGGTGCTTCAGTGCCTCTCCAGCACATCAAAGAGCTCGGTAACAGCATCGTTCTCCAGCCACCAGGAGTCACCAGCGTGAAGAGCAGCCTCATCCACTCCATCCACTCTTATTTGCTGCTGCTGCTGCTGCTGCTGCTGCCTCTGCTGCTACTCCTGCTCATTAGTGTGCTTCAGTGCCTCTCCAGCACATCAAAGAGCTCGGTAACAGCATCGTTCTCCAGCCACCAGGAGTCACCAGCATGAAGAGCAACCTCATTCAACCTTTCTGCTTCTCTCTCATTTGCTGCTGCTGTTGCTGCTCCAGACCCTGATGCTGATGCTCCTGCTGCCCTTCCGTTTGTACCCGCTGCATTTCCGTTACTAACATGCCCGTTGCTGTCTGCAGAATCGTTATAAGCAGCAAAACCATTGGCTCCGTTATAAGCTGCCCCATTGGCCATGAAAAGGGCGTCTGTAGCAGCAGCACCACTGGAGGTCAAAGCAGAAAGAGTAGCTTCCTCTAAATCTGCCTTCCATATCCCGTCGCCTTCACCCGACTCCCAACTGACATCTTTCCCCCCCTCGCCTTCAGAGCAGCCTTCCCCATCGTCCTTTAATTCAGCCGTCCATCCCTCCTCGTCTTCTGTGCGCACCTCTGTTTGCGCCTCTGCTTGAGGAGCAGCCCACCACAGCCCATCTGCGTCTCCTCCACTGTTCACCACCTCCGCATCACCGTTCACTGCTGCTGCTGCTGCTGCTGCTGGTGCTGGTGGGGTGGGTGGGGCTGCCGATGGTCCGAGTGCTGCTGGTGCTGCTGGTGCTCCCGGTGCTGCTGATGCAGCAGTCCTCCTCGGCCAATCACTGACCGGATAGGCATGCACTCGGATCTGCACCTCAGGCTCTGCTTCACCCTCATCCCTGACGCCCTTTGTTGCGTCGCTTGTCGCAGGAGCCGCTGTGCCAGGAGCAGCCATTGCGGCAGGAGTAGCAGCTGTGGCAGGAGCTGCAGTTGTGGCAGCATCTACCAAAGGAAGAGGGCTGGAATCAGCAGAAGCAGCATGGGAGGAAAGAGTAGCAGTAGGAGTAGAACCACTGCTAACCACGGCAAACCCAACATCACCACTTGCAGCATCGCCATCAGCAGCACCCCCTGCAGCTGCTGCTCCATCACCCACAACCTTAGAGGCAGCAGAAGCTGCAGCAGCTGCCACGGCAGCAGCAGCCAGAGCCGTTTTACTGAGCGCCTTACCAGCAGCAGCCTTTGCTCCTGCCTTCACAGCACTCTTCAGTTGGGACGAGAATTGCTTCAGCCTCGCACGCTTGCTGCCCCTGCTGCTGCTGCTGCTGCCACTGCTGCTGTTTCCACTAGCGCTTGCCTCTGGTTTTCTTCCTGCAACGGACTTTGCAGCAGCTTTGGCCCTGTTTCTTAACTCGCTAAGAGCTTCCCCAGCAACTCTTTTAGCTCCTCTAGCTGCACCCTTTGCAACTTCTGACTCTGCTGCTGCTGCTGCTGTCATTGCTGCTGCTGCCGCTTCTGCTGCTGATAGTTCTCCTCCTGCTTCTGCTGCTGCTCCTGCCACTGCTGCTGACCTTGAAGTTTCTCCCTTGAACCTTCCTGGCCCAAACAGCCACTCTCCATCACTCCCCCCTTCTCCCTCACTCCACCTCTCACTCTCACTCCCACTCTCGCTCTCGCTCTCACTCTCGCTATCCCCGTCCCTCGCCCTCTCACTCCCACCCTCCTCTCCTGCCCCATCTCCGTTGAACCTTATCCGAACCTTCGTCTTGTTGGGCTTGCCGAACTTCCCCAGGACTGTGGTTCGGCCCGAGCCTTCCTCCACATACGACTTGTAGGTTAGGACCAGCCGAACCTCGCCCTGAGGTGCGGGCTTCACGCCGAATGGCCCGTCTTGTAACAGTGGTAACCACATGGAGACTGGAATGCAGTCCTGCAGCTGATTCAGGGGGACCTGTGGAGGGGGGAAGGCAGAGGTTGATAAAGGCACTTGATGTGACAGTGGTAACCTGGTAACCACATGGAGAGCGAGATCTCTCCGAAACGTTTTGCCTCTTCGGGCTCTCCACTCATAACAGAAAGTCCTGATTCGACACCGGATCCCTCGAGCCTGCACAGCAGGACACCAGACATCAGAGCACAGACACTGCACATTCTCCCTCCCTTGTCTTACAGCCACCAGAGCACCAACCTGCACGCAGAGAGATTGCTACCGCCCACCCACCTGCACAAAGCCCAGGTCTCGTTGAAACAGAGCAGATTCCCGCACCACAAGTGAGATTCTGTCTCTTTGGGCTCTCCACGCAAAACAGTAAGTCCTGATTCCACACCGGGTCCCCGGGGCCAAGGAGAAGTTTGTTGCTAGTCCTCCCTACCTGCGGGTCCCTGGGGCCTAGAGGGGCTAGTGACTAGTCATAAGAGAGACTGCTAGCGCCCACCCACCTGCACGAAGCCCAGCGTCTCGTTGGAACAGAGCAGAGTCCCGCACAACGACGGTCCTCCCTACCTGCGGGGCCCATCTCAAGAGGGGTTGCTGCCCCCCACCTGCACGAAGCCCAGCGTCTCGTTGGAACAGAGCAGAGTCCCGCACCACGACAGCGAGCGCCTCTATGGGCTCTCCACGCAGAACAGAAAGTCCTGATTCCACACCGGGTCCCTGGGGTCTAGGGGGGCTAGTGAGGGACTGTTGGTACCCACCTGCACAAAGCCCAAGTCTCGCTGAAATAAGGCAGAGTCCCGAACCACGACAGTCAGCTTCTGCCTCTTGGGGCTCTCCACGCAGAACAGGAAGTCCTGATTCCACACCGGGTCCCTTGGGCCTGCTGCATGAGACGTCTGCCTGTTCCTCTTGCTCTCCACCACCGCCCCCCCAAACACCAGCCGGCAGTACGGGTCACTCAGGAGCGAAAGCGGCCGGCTGAGAATCGCCAGGGGGTTGTTTTTTGGACGGGATGAAGGAGGAGGTTTGGTGGGAGAAGAGGAAAGGCTGGAGGAAGGGGAGGAGAGGGGAGAGGGAGGGGAGGTGGGGAGGGAGAGGAGGGAGAGCGGCGAGGTGGGGAGGTTGCGGGCCTCGCAGAGAGTGACTGAGAGCTCTCCTTTGAAGGCGTCAGATGTGTCTCCCTGGAGGGGCGCGTGGTTGGCGGACGAGGGGAAGGGGGCGGGGGAGGAGGAGGCGGAGGGGGCGGATGAAGGGGAAGGGGAGGGGGAGGAGGAAGTGGAGGTGCCTGTGTTGGCAGGTGTGGTGATGATTCCTGCTGTGCTGAATCCCGTGGTGGTGGTGGGGCCAGTGCTGCTGCTGCTGCCAATTCCGTTCGTGCCACCATGGCTGTTCATTGAACCACTGCTATTGCTGCTGGTGGCGGTGGTTGTGGTGCTGTAGCTGCTGCCGTTGCTGCCGTTGCTGGTCTCTCCCCAGTTCATGCCTCCGGATGTGTTGAACAGACTTCTAACCACAGCAGACGCTGCTGCTTCGGTCCGCCACTGCGCCTCTCTTTCCTGTTGTCCCACGCCAGCAGCCACGTCAGCTGCCACGTCAGCGCCCACGTCTGTGCCCGCGTCCGTTTCCTCCTCGTCAGCGTCCATGCCAGGTGGCAGGAAGTCCAGGCTGATGTGGCGTGGCAGCACGAGGAGCCGCGGAAGGTCCTCTGTTAGCAGCTTGGAGAGGAATCTGGGGGGTAAGAGAGAATAAAAGGGAGTGAGGAGGAGTGAAGAGGAATGTTACAGGAGTGTTAAAGGATGTAGATGTGGGAGGTCCTCCGTTAGCAGCTTGAAGAGGAATCTGGGGGGTAAGGGGGTATGATTGGGAGTGAGGAGCAAGAGGGAATAATGGGGAGTGAGGAGGTGTGAAGAGGAGTGGTACAGGAGTATTAAGAGAGGGAGACCGGGAAGGTCCTCCGTTAGCAGCTTTGAGAGGAACCTGGGGGGTACAGGGGCCTCAGTGTGGGGCCACGGGGGGGGGAGGAAGAAGGGAGGAGGGAGGCGATGAGAGAAGACCAGGGATGCAAGGAGAAGGTGGACTCAGCTTCTCCTTACATCCCTGAGGGAAGAATATGGTGTGTGTGCACGTGTGTGCGTGTGCATGCCTGCAAAAGAGGGAAGAGAACTCACGGGATGCCAACCACGTTGAGCACGTGGAAGGGCGCGAGGACCAGCTTGATGGTGGGAAGACGCACGAACGCGAGCGACAGGCTGGCGACAAACGGCTTCTTGGGCGTCAGGCGCAGCTTCACCCACACCTCCGCATCCACATGTCATGCACGCCCACCGGCACACGTTCATATCATGCACATCCAGACCGTGCTTGTGTGTATATGTGTGGCCCATAGCCAAATACTCACGGGATTCCAACCACGTTGAGCACGTGGAAAGGTGCGAGAACTAGCTTGATGGTGGGAAGCCGCACGAACGCGAGAGACAGGCTGGCGACAAACGGCTTCTTGGGCGTCAGGCGCAGCTTCACCCACACCTCCGCATCCACGTCCAAGTCATGCACGTCCACCGGCACGGACCACTTCAAACCCCCCACCTCCAAATGCAGCCTAATCATACAGTGCGCGTCCCCGGTATACCGCACCCCCACATGGTACTGCAGATCATCCGCCTTCCTGCTCGGCCGCTGCTGCACCGTCCTCACTGCAAACGGCTCGTAGTCCAGCGTAAACACTGCTATTTCCACGCGGGAGAATGGGGCCGGGAGCGTGGGTTGAAGCTTGTCGATGCTGCGTTGGATTCTGGTTACCAGCCAGGTTTCTATGGGCTGGCGGTAGACCTTCCACATCTTATGGAGGACCATGTTGACCCATTCGACGGATTCTTTTTGCATGCCCACGCCCACGTCTGTAGGCGCTCCGAGCTTCCTGTCGCTGCCGGAGGCAGCAGCAGCAGTGCCTGTGCTCGCTTTTCCACTCGCCTTTCCACTCGCTTTCCCATTCGTTTTTGCACTCGCTTTTGTTGCACTTGCTTTTGTGCTGGGGTATCCTTTCGTGCTGGCTCCTGTGCTTCCCTTCATGCTGGTTCCTCCACTCGGTTTGGCGCCAGTTCTTGCGCCACCACCGCTCCTGCTGCCCGTTGCTGCTGAGGCTGCAGCTGCTTCTGCCGCACCGGAGCCTATTCCAAAGGCCCTTGCCAGGCCTTTAGACCAGATGCCACCGCCGGTTTTGCTGCTGATGGGTGCTCTCGTGGCCTTACTATCTCTGTTGTCCGTGCTGCTGTTGCTGCTCTCGCTGCTGCTGGTGTTTCTGATCCCGCTCTGGCTTGTGCTCCTCCCAGATTCCTCTACGGTATGGCTGCCTCGTTCGCCTCCGGATAACTCCTGGCCAGCACTGTGCCCTGCGTACCCGTTAAGAGCGTGCCCGTTAGCAGCGAGCGCATGACCGTTGGAAGCAGCCCCGTTAGGAGCATACCCGTTAAGAGCATGCCCATTACAAGCAGCCCCGTTAAGAGCGTGCCCGTTAAGAGCATGACCGTTGGAAGCAGACCCGTTAAGAGCATGCCCATTGGAAGCAGCCCCGTTAGGAGCATACCCGTTAAGAGCATTCCCGTTGGAAGCAGCCCCGTTCAACGCGGCGTATCCGTTAGAAGCAAGACCATTTTCGGCAGCCACTGGGTCGCCAAAGCCACCATAATCCGCGTTATAAGCTGACCGACCCGCTGTAGCTGTAGCAGCAGCAGTAGCAGCATTGGCTACTGCAGTGGCGTATGGGCCATGATCCATTGATAACAGGGCTCCATTGGTTGTACGCTGAGTAGGAACAAGTGCTGAGACAGTTCCGTTAACTTCTCCTGCTGCTGATGCTGCTGCTGCAGTTGCGATATCGAGAGAGGGGATGGAAGAGGAGGAGGAGGAGGAGCGGGACGGAAGGGTGGGAAGACGGGCGGCCGAGACGAGTCTCTGTATGGGGTGACACAAACGAGGGGGCGGGAAACAGATAGGGAGAGACAGTCTCTGTATGGAGTGACACAAAGGAGTGGGCGAGAACAGACGAGGAAATGCGAAACACCAAACTCCCTCGATAACGTTCTGGTTACCAGCTTGTGTTGATCATATTCAGCCCGTTTGTATCACCAGCAGTACCTGCCGTTCCTTTCGGCGGCGGAGCCAGAGGACGAACGCCTGTTTTAGAGTCGACTCAAAAACAGCCAGAAGACGAGCGCCGTGTTCAGCAGCGGCGCGACTGCGCCGAGTGACACAAGAACGAAGTCGCTCAAGCTGTTTACCAACTCCCAACTATCACCTTCCGTTTGTATCACCTTCCTCTTCCTCTTATTACCTGTTGTTCGGCTCGTCGGCGCAGCCAGAGGACGAGCGCCGTGGTCAGCAGCGCCGCGACTGCGCCGAGTGTGACAAGTACGAGGTCACGGATCGGCCCAGAGACCACCGCAGAGACGGCCGCCTCGATCATAGAACTCCCCGCCGCCGCCGCATGCGCTCGCACCGGCTGTAGCCGCCGCTGCCGCCTCGGCTGTGCTACAGCTGCGGTGTTCAGCGTCAAGCGCGAAGAGGGCTGCCGCGAAACTCGGAGTTGATTCACCCAGCCGTTACTACGACTACTAGTCGGCCCTTGAGACGTCTCAGAAGTCAGCCCATGGGCGCCGCCTACGGACGACGGACCGCTGAAGCACGAAGGCTGTTGGTGCCGCTGCGTGTGTTTGCTCCTACTTCTAGCCGCGACGAAGACGAACGAGTAGGGGCGATAAGGGTAGGAGGACGACGGCGCGAGTGGCGTAAACAAGCGGGAAGCAGCCGTGGGAGCTCGTGGCAAAGCAGCTAGCGGTCGACGTGCTTGCTTCACCAGTCGTAGCCGCTCCGGCAGTAGTGGTTTTCCTAAAAAGGAGGTTCTGAGCAGCACACGAGACGGCGTCCGTAGTGGGGTTAATCGTCGGGCGGCCGAGCTTGTTTTTAGTTGAGTGGTGATTGGACGAACGGTGAGCGTCGGACGACGGGAAAGAGTTACGGAGACTCCCATACTGTGCAGACTATCAGTGGACGGTAAGTGCGTAACGCACACTCGGCGAAGGCCGCAGCGCGCCGCAACGCACGCTCAGTGGTTATCGGCTGACCTAAAAGTCCTTGAAACAGCAGATAGGGAAGGAAGTGCGCATGGTCATGACAATCGAAAGGTCAACAAGATCAGAACAAACGCATTGAAACATAGCCAGTAAAGAGAGAGTTTTCAGGTGATGCTGTTACGATCGCGGGCATGGTTCCTGCTTGAGCGAGCATCGTGCACGAAGAGAGAAAGGCACAAGACAAGCGGGAGGGAACGGACTGCAAGCAACCACAGGAAAGAAAAGCGTGGGGCGAATTGCAACTCTTCTATCCTCGTGCTCATCTGCCCCTCGAATCAACTGCACTGATGCGATCACAGCAATGAAGTGGAGCAGAGCAGGCGAATGCGTATCAGTGTTCACACATGCCCTTTCGCCAGCCTGCCTTTCGAATTCGCATCTTACACGGGTTGTGCAAGCCTGCCCGCGGTGCGTCAGGAGCCAGTCCTGGTGGCCCGGAGTACATGCTCTGTAGGTTTAGGGCAGGTGAGGTGAGGGATGGTGCTTGGAAGCCAATGACTGGTGAGCGTTTTTTTCAGGGAGATCAAGGTGAGACTGGGTTTGTTGTAATTTGCCAACGCAGCGACAATCATTGTTTTTTCGAAGCTTTTCGTTCGCCAGTTCGGTCGACTCAGGTCAACCAGATGGACAACCTCACGTGCGATGAAGCCCTTGAAAACCGCGATGTGCTTGAAGAGAAGCTGCGTTCTTGGAGGATGCTTGGAAATGGTCTTATTAGAATGTGCCACGCGTCCCTGAACTCATGGATTTCGGGATTCCCGGGCCAGCCTGGGAACGTAGATTTTTACCCGCTGACCTTTTCAGGCCCACTTTCCTGATCAAGGTACGCGTCAGCATGAGCTTGTCATGCGACAGGTCAACCCCTGCAAGGTTGGCAGCAGGGAAACCTTGAAGAAGCCGCACACGAATTATCGTTGAAAAATATGGTCCACAGAACTTCTGTAGAGCGCACTGAAATTCTTCAAGAAATGTAGTTGGTATACAAACAGTTGTTGCTACTGAAATTCTCTCTAAAGCAACCGAAACCTGCAAGATATGGGTTCGCACCAGGCTCGGTGCATATCGTTCACAAGGTCGTAAAGTTCGGTTCTGTATGTAATAATTGACCATTTTCTTCACGATGCAGTGAGGTATCGTATGGCGGAGGTTCGAGGTCGAGCAAATTTAGCACACCCTGGCCATCTGTTTTAGGTCACCACTTATTTCACACAACTGTGCCAGTCCTCACATCCTGACAATCGATGCATTTCACGCCGCGCATCGTCAGAGACAGCAGAAGCATTTTATTTCTGACCCTCATTTCGTATCCCCGTTGAAGCGACGCTTTTGCTATGGCGGACGCGTCGCCTTTCAGCTTGGCATCGTCGATATCCTGCCACGCGTGGAATGGCAACATGTCCAGTTGAGTCGCAAGCAGATAGAAGAAGCTGGTGATTGATGAATTGTTTGAGTTGACTTTTACCTCTGCTGTTCCCTTCGAACTGTGTTACTCTCAGTTTTTAGCTGCTTTCTGTTCGTTGGCGATCAGCGACATTCAGAACAACATCAGTGTTATTCAGTTACACTCAGGTTCTCCTCTTGATCAGACTGTCTCCTCGTTGTTTCCTATCAGGGATTGCAACCTGTTTAGGGTCTTGTTTTAGCCTAATATGGAATGCCCTATCGCCTGTCCTCTGCCTCTTTACAACGTTCCACACTGCACTCCTTAATCTCATTTCAGTGGTGGCCATTAGCAGGGAGTTTCTGAATATTTTGTAATATACTCTGCTTCCTCTTGCACTGAACTCCCTCATTCTCACTTGTCCAATGCAGTGGTGGCCGTCAGCCCGCGAACATCGGAGCTGTGGATATTCAAAGCTAATATCGCGGATGATGAGAAACAGTGGGAGAAGCTACACACGCTGTCCAAGGTAAGTAACTGTACACGCATTTGAAATTCAGGAGCACCAGGGAGCAGGACATGAGAGTGTTAGAAACAGTCATGCTCCAAGTGTAGAAGCGTTTGAGTAGACTGCTTTTGAGTCGACTGCCTCTGAGTCGACTCAAAAGCAAAGTCAGAGCACCAGGGAGCAGGACATGAGAGTGTTAGAAACAGTCATGCTCCAAGTGTAGAAGAGGTTGTTTGGACTTGGTCCTAAAGCACAAACATCCGGCCTGCAGTCATCGTCATGGCATGCGATGGGATGACATGGCATGGCATGGCATGGCATGGCATGGCATCACGTTTACACTGACACAGTTTAAAAACAACCACTTCCGTCTCTACTCCTTCCCTCCCTCCCCCTCTCTCACCTCTTTCCGCATATACCTAATTGGCACTGTCTGCAGCAGGAGAATGCCTTATGTGTGATCCTTCTGAACCTTTTTTCCCCTTACAGCCACTCTTCCTCTATTCAAACACCCCAACTGGCATTCTTGGCATGGCCTGAAATGGCATGGCATGTTATGACATACTTTGTATGCATGGCATGCCACACACCATCCATATGGCATGGCATGGCAGCACGAGGACCTGATATCAGGCGTGGACTGGGGCGCCAAGAAGAACCGCATCGTCACTTGCTCACACGACCGCAACTCGTGAGTCTCGTCGGGGGAAACCCATGGTATCAGCTTCTCTCCTCTGCCCCTCAAGTTCAACCATCACTGGATGAGTGGAACTGGGTCGAGGAGGAGTGGAGAGGCGCCTCTCTACCTCCCTCTTCCCCCCGCCCCCACCATTCCCCACCCCCCCCCACCTCACCACCCTTCCTTTCATCTGCCTTTTCCTTCCTCTTTACCCTCCCTCGGCCCCCATGCGCAGGTACGCGTGGAACTGGGTGGAGGGGGAGAGGGCTGGAATGGACATGCGCTTTTGACCCAACCACACCCCCACTTCACCCCCTCCTCCATATGCCCCTCCCTCCCTCCCCTCCCTTGGCCCACACTGACAGGTACGTGTGGAACTGGGTGGAGGGGGAGTGGAGGGCGGCACTGGTCATTCTCAGACTGAACAGGGCGGCGCTCTGTGTGGCATGGAGTCCCCAAGGTGAGCGTGGGACGAATGGAGTTCCCAAGGTGAGGGTGGGACGCATGGAGTTCCCAAGGTGAGGGTCTCAGGAGTCAACCCAAATTGACTTATGAGTCGATTCAAAAGTCAACTGGGTGGAGGGGGAGTGGAGGGCGGCACTGGTCATTCTCAGACTGAACAGGGCGGCGCTCTGTGTGGCATGGAGTCCCCAAGGTGAGCGTGGGACGAATGGAGTTCCCAAGGTGAGGGTGGGACGCATGGAGTTCCCAAGTTGAGGGTGAGAGGAATGGAGTTTCCAAGGTGAGGGTGGGGCGAATGTACGACAGCAGGACGTGCGGTTTAGCTCAATGAATGTTCCGATTTCTTTGCTCAGGGATTATAGCTGACTAACGCTGTTTGTTTATGCTGCCTATTCATGAATAAACTACAAATGCATTATTAAATGTTATTGTTCACCATGCAGAGAACAAGTTTGCTGTGGGAAGCGGATCCAAGACTGTCAGTGTATGCTACTACGATGACGATAACAGCTGGTATGTGCTTATAACGAACAGAAGTGGTGACGCAATATACTTATGTGAAAGAGAATGGTATGGTATGTGAATGTGACTATGTTACGCGATGATGTAGCATACGCGTGATTGTATTTGTGTGTGTGTGTATGCATGTTTGCATGCATGCATGCATGCATGCATGCATGCATGCATGTGTGTGTGAATGCACATGTGTGTGCGTGCATGCTTACATGCGTGCGTGCATGCATATGTGCTCGCAGGTGGGTGAGCAAGGTGATTTTGAAGAAGCATGCCTCTTGAGTCTTCGAGTCAACTCAAAAGTGATGATAACGTACGCACATGTGCGTGTTCATGTGTGGTCATGCATGTGAGTGTGTTCTCGCAGGTGGGTGAGCAAGGTGATTCGCAAGAAGCATGCCTCATCAGTCACCAGCGTTGCCTGGCATCCAAACAATGTGAGACATGATGAGATTCAAAAAGTGACCAGAGCCAGCAGAACATAACACAAGTCATGAGCCTTCTCGCAATAGAACCTGTTTAATGTGCTGCTTTTCCCGTTGTTGCTCTTTCTGTTGCTGCCCCTACTGCTCCCATCTCCCTTCTCCACCCTGATCCAAAGAAAAAGAACAAGAAAAGAAAAAAAAAAACCACTTCCCCTTTTCCTTCTCCCCTCCCCCCTCCCCCCTCCGCCCTGCCTCCTTCCTTGCAGCTTCTACTAGCGACCACATGCACAGATAACAAGTGTCGGATATTCTCAGCTACAATCAAAGGGGTTGACTCTAAGAGGTATCCTCTCCATCTGCTTGACTCCGCAATATACCCGTTATAACATACGCTCGATAACAAAATATCTACAACAATATCCCTCGACTCATATTTCTACTCCTTTTGACACCCTCGTCATGCCTTTTCCGACATCTTGTTGCTCGTCTTGTCTATTTTCCCTCCAACCCACGATCTTTCTCCACTGCTCAGTTCGGAGAGCTCTTCCTCTGGCGGATTTTCTGGGAAGTTTGGAGAGGTGAGGCAAGGAAAGGGATGGGTGGAGAGGGGAGGGGAGGCAGGGAATGGGAAGATTGGAGAGGTGAGGCGGGGAATGGGAAGTTTGGAGAGGTGAGGCGGGGATTGGGAAGGGTGGAGAGGGGAGGCAGGGAATGGGATTGTTGGAGGGGTGAGCGAGCTAGGGATGTGAATGTGACACAGAGAATGGGTATCGGTGAAGTTCAAAAGTTCACTCTGTCCTCCCAAGTTGTAAGGTCTACTACGTCCAGTAAAACCCTCCTGTATGAGTGTAAGGTCTACTACGTCTGTTAAACCAATCGCTCCATCGCTCCCTCCTGTGGACTTCCCCACTTTCTCCTTCTCTTACGCTCTCTGATGATAAAAGTGTTTTGAGACGTCTCAAAACACGTCCGTTAAACCCATCGCTCTATCGCTCCATCGCTCCCTCCTGTGGACTTCCCCACTTTCTCCTTCTCTTAAGCACTCTCAGCATTTTATCCTACGTCCCTCCTCCATCTCGCCTTCCCTCATCTCATCTCTCCTCCCCTCCACTCCCCTCCCCCCACCCTCTATCTCCAACCCCCCCTATATCCCCCCCCTTCTCTATCCCCTTCCTACTCTATCCCCCCCGGCTGATCTCACTCCCCTCCCGTCTTCCACCAAGCAGCAACTTCTGCAGCTGGACTTGGCATTTGGATGGACGTTTGGAGCCAGGTGGTCGCCTTCAGGGGCCAACCTCGCGTTCGTTGGTGAGTCAGTCAGTCAGTCAGCCAGCCAGCCAGCCAGCCCTTGTGAGTTGTTGGTGAGTCCGTCAGCCATTTGAGATGCCCCAGGGCTCAACTCTTGCTGCTCGACTTGGCATTCGGGTGGACGTTTTGTCAAGTGGTCACCTTCAGGGGCCAACCTCGCCTTCGTTGGTGAGTGAGTCAGTCATCCAACCAGCCCTTGTTCGTCGTTGGTGAGTCAGCATCGCATCGCGCATCTATCACATATCCCTCCATCCAGGACGTCTTTTGAGGCGCCTTAACACTTTTGAGGCGCGTTAAGACTTTTGAGGCGCCTCAAGACTTTTGGGGCGCCTCAGAACGCGCAAATATTACATAGCCCTCCAGGACGTGTCTAGATTATTTACGCCACTGTCTATCATTCGTTTTGTGTCACATCTTACATCCACACACACATCCTTACCCTCCACAAATCCACCATTCATTCCACCACGCCACAATCTATCAGCCGTTTGTATCACACCCTTGCACCACACATGCACATGCATGCAGACCATGACTCCACCATCCATTTTATCAACGATGTCGGCCCCTCCCTCCCTCTCCTCTCCACTCCCTCACCCGTCACTCCACATGCATCATGTGCTGCTCATGCACACGCACATACACATGCATGCAGGCCATGACTCCACCATCCATTTCATCAACGATGTCGGCCCCTCCCTCACTCTCCACTCTCTTACCCGTCACCCCACATGCATCATGTGCTGCGCATGCATATGCTCCCTCCACATGCACATGCATGCAGGCCATGACTCCACCATCCATTTTATCAACGATGTCGGCCCCTCCCTCACCCTCCACTCCATCTCCCTCCGATACCTCCCACTGCGTGATGTAAGTGGCGGCGCCTCTTCCTTACCTTCCCACTTCCCTCGCCTCCCCTCCATCGCCCTCCATTCAATTTCCCTCCAATACCTCCCGCTGTGCGATCTAAGCACACCCGTTTCTCCCCAATACCCCTCTCAACTCCCTCGCACACCTCCAGCTTCACTCTGCTCTTGCATTTCCAGGCTTCACCACTGCTTTCCCAGTCGACTTAGAAAAAGTTATCCCCTCCCTTACTATCCCACACCCCTCATCTGAAGCATCTGAAAACCCACCCTCATCTGAAAACTCACCCTTGCTACTTCGCCACCGTCCTACCCGTACCCCTGTCCTGCCATGCACTGAGGTGACTTTTGAGTCGACTCAAAAGTCTACTTTGCCACCGTCCTACCCGTACCCCTGTCCTGCCATGCACTGCACTCTCAGGTTCTCTTCCTCTCTGATCGCCTGCTGGTGGCGGCTGGCTTTGATTACAATCCCATTCTCTTCAGTGCCGATGCCAACGGCACATGGTGAGTGGTGTTGAGAGAACGTCACGTGGTAATGAGTGGTGCTGACAGCAATGGCATGTGGTGAGTGTACAGATAGTGCTGGTGGCGGCTGGTTTTGACTACAACCCCATTCTCTTCAGTGCCAATGCCAATGGCACATGGTGAGTGAGTTGTGGGGGGAGGCAGCAATGGCACACGTGGCGAGTGCACAGATAGTGCTGGTGTGTGGATGCTGGTTTTGACTACAATCCCATTCTCTTTAGTGCCGATGTCAATGGCACGTGGTGAGTGGTGGGGAAAGCAATGGCACGTGGCGAGTGCTGTGGTGCTGATGCCATTGGCACGTGGTGAATGCACAGCTACTGCTGGTGGCGGCTGGTTTTGATTACAATCCCATTCTCTTCAGTGCCGATGCCAATGGCACATGGTGAGTGAATGGTGCTGGTGCCATTGGCAGGTGGAGAATGGTGCTGACACGAGGTTTTACATACCACGCAACGCTGTGCTTTTGCATGCCACCCTATGCAATATGGCTATGCTATCCCAAGCCCCTTTCCCACAAGCTCACCCTCCCCATTCCCTTCCCTTCCATACCCCCTCCTCACACCTTTCTACCCTTGTCCTATTCTTCATGACTATATGCTCTCAAGACGATTGTGAAAGTATAGGATAGCTCTTGAGGAGCCCCGCTCCACGTGATAAAAGTAGTGTTTTGATACGTCTCAAAACACTACTTTTATCACGTGTATAGGATAGCTCTGAGGAGCCCCGCTCCATGCGTGCTTCTTCCCCACTTTCAGACATTTCAAAAGCCTACACTTGAGCACACCTCCATTCCCTTCCTTTCATGCCCCCCAATGCCTCGTCTCAGTTTCTCTCTTTCTGCATGCTCTCTTTGCGACGAGTCAGAATACTGGATGGTTCTATTTTTGAGTCGACTAAAAAATACACCTCCATTCCCTTTTTGAGTCGACTCAAAAATACACCTCCATTCCCTTCCTTTCATGCCCCCCAATGCCTCGTCTCCGTTTCTCTCTTTCTGCATGCTCTCGTTGCGACGAGTCAGAATACTGGATGGCTCTGAGGAGCCCTCCACTATTCATACAACTTCCCCACCCCCTTCCCTCTGCGCCCTTCCTCCCTTTTCCACTACCCTGTCTCCCCTTCTCTCTCTGCGCACTCTCAGGACGTTTGTGAGAGTACTGGATGGTTCTGAGGAGCCCACCTTCACTCATACAACCTCCCCACTCCCTTCAATACTCGCCTTCTCTGTGTCTGCACTCTCAGGACGTTTGTGAGAGTACTGGATGGTTCTGAGGAGCCCTCCGGCACTGCCACTGGCGCGGCTCTCTCTGCGGTAACTCCATCTCCCTTTCCCCCCTCCCACTCATCCACCACTTCTCCTTATATGAAATTTTCTGTTATTCTCTGCTGTAGCCCTCTTTTCCTCCTTTTCTCTCATCTCATCCCCTTCGCGTAACGTGTTAGCAACCCCAGTTTGTTGGCTAGTGAATCAGAGCTGTGTGAGCGAGAGACCTCTACAACAAATAGCTCTCGTAAATGAAGCTTCCCTTAACGCCTCTACGGCTGAAGCCTTTCTTTTCTCTTTTCTCTCCCTCTTACTTTCCTCCGTCATCTTTTGTTTCTTCTCTCTACTCTCCCATGATCCCACCTCTCGCTTCTCAGAAGGACGCGTTCGGTCGGTCTATGGAACGCGGAAATTCCCTCCGCTCCTCCCTGAACGATGCTGCTCCCAACGCCCCCTCCATTCCCGACTCGGAGCTCTCCAAAGGACCTAGCACTGTTCACCAGGACTGCATCACGTGAGTTGTCCGCTTGCGATTCTATTATAAATGGGGATCTGTGAAGGGCCAAGCTCGGTTCATCAGGAGTGCATCACATGTCTTGTCTGTTTGTGCAACGACGACTCCTGTTTCGCCAAGTGGCATTGGCCTCCGTTTGCCCTCTTTTGTTGCTTTCTTTGTCTTGTGTTTCTTGCTGCAGCTGCATTCGGCCATTGGGTTCAGCGGACGATTCAATCATTCAGCAATTTTCGACCTCAGGTGAGCAATATGCTGGCCCATACGCCATGCACTCAAGCACCACCCAGAACTATTTCACCACAAGTAAAGCATCTGATCTGAGCCTTGTTAATATTTCACCCAAATTCTCCCTTGTTGGTTTTGCATCTTTTTTGCAGGCCTAGACGGGAAAGTGGTGGTATGGGATGTATCAGGTTTGCATCTAGCTCGGTACGCTTCAAGGCCAGGCCACTGATAATGTCACTAGGTTGCTGTACTTTTTGAAGCATGCAGTAAAGTAATTAGGCCATACTATGCGTACATTCCTGTAGGCGTGCAGTGTACTAGCCACAGTTTCTGGGCACGTGAGCGATGCACATGGAACAGCGGAGACCGCTGCAACGCGTGTGAATGGTCACAGCGGAGGAGGATGGATTGCTTTCACAGCGTACGTACGTACGTCTCCGTACACCCAACCAACCTCGGCCACGGCAGGTTCATCTCTTGTGTACGCTCCCTCCTATTGGAAGCCGCTTTCACGCGGTTCATCACCGCTCTATCGTGGTTTCGTGGTATCCTCATGCTGAACACTGACCACCACATACAAAACACCAGGCAATCTGAACCGTCGGAATTCCACCCTCCAGCCGTTGCGCTGCCGTCGGATCGACCGGCATTTCGACAATTTCGAGGTGGCGTGTCAGTCACAGCCGCCAGTCGTCGCTGTCATTCGAATGAACGCGCTTGTACCGGATTACCATTTGACAACGCAACCAACCGAACGAAACCGTGAATTGTGCTGAAAAAGGTTCGCCCTTCACATCCCTCCCATCACGGCTGTTCTCATTTCAGAGTTTCTTCCAGATAAATCTGCTTTGGTTCAGGCTAGCTGTTCTGTTCACTCATCTCGTCCAGGTTTGATCAGCCATCATTCTCTTCAGCCTAGTGTGTTTGCCAGGGAAAGTCGTTTCGAGGAGCAACTTTGGAGTAAATTCGTAGTTGCTGATCAAATCTTAGACGGAAGCTCACGGAATGGTAGGGTTTGTGGAGACTGACACAGTGTAGTGCTCGTCGATTCTCATATTCCCTTTTCTCGCCAGAGCACTTGAAGTGTCCAGTCGAAGCCATCCAGTCTCTGAATCCTTCTCAAGCAAACTTTAGCTTCCATTCAAGCTTAGTATAAGTTTGTCACTTTGTCTAAGAAGTGTCTAGTCTCTCGTTTGTTTAGTGTATTTGTTTTTATAGAAATCAACGGGGGGTGGGGATGGGGAAGTTAGGAAAGGCGAAGGCGAAGGCGAAGGTGTCAGAGCAGCCGCTTAAGTACGTCGGTACGACAGACCCGATCGCCGCAGCGCGTCACGTGAAATGGGCGCGAGTAGCGTTCTTCGTCGCTGTTGGAATCGATATTGCCTTCACACTTGTAAGTTCATCCCCTAGTTTTGAGAATCCCAAGAATTCTGATTACACACCTTTTTTCTCGCAGTATTTTTTTAATCTATTTTGCCACCGTTGAAACTGATATTGTCTTCTCTGGAAGGTGCAGCACGCTCTGCTTTATTCGTTTCGCTCCAGTCCTTATTGTTGGTTTCTGTTCTTGGCCTTCACCCCCGTCGTTCCCCTCTTCGTTTCTGTTCCTGGCCAGGCTCTGCACTATTCTCTCCACAACGCCGTCTGGACTCCCGATTTCAGCTCCTTTAACGAATTCGTCAAAAGCATCCTCAGCTTCAGATCAGACTCCCTCGATCTCATTTTGATCGCTATAGTCAGAGCAATCTCGCTGTCGATTCTGTCAGAAATAGCTGCTCGATACGCGTGGCAGGAAGGCTGGGAGCTTGAAATTCCGAAAAAGGAACAGAAGGGGAGGGCAGGAGGCGGATCAGGAGCCAATGCAGCGAGAAGAGGGTCTCATGATATGAACGGGGGGGTGCATGCTCCGCTTCTGGCTCGGGGAACGGATAAGGAGAAGGAGAAGGAGGAAGAGGAGGAGGATGAGGAGGAGGAGAAGAAGCATGAGGTGATATCGTGGAAGAAGGAGGAGGAGGACCAGGGCTTTAAGGAGTGGATGAGCAATGTGTCGGCCAAGGACGTGACGGTCTTCGTCTCCTTCCTCCTCTGCACCTTCTTCCAGGTCCGTGCTTCACTCGCGCTTTCCTGTGTGTAACTAGTTTTGAGGCGCCTCAAAACTGGAGGAGGAGGACCAGGGCTTTAAGGAGTGGATGAGCAATGTGTCGTCCAAGGACGTGACTGTCTTCGTCTCCTTCCTCCTCTGCACCTTTTTCCAGGTCCGTGATTTTTGAGACGTCTCAAATATCGTCTTCCGAGTCGGCGCTTCACTCCGCGTTCCTGTGTGTAAACTGTTCATACCTTGCATATTTTCGTTCGAACTGCTGCAGGGCTGGTTCGTGGGTCTGCTATGCCATGGTTTAGCAAGTACCCGCCTCCCCTCTCTCCCCTCCCCTCTCCCCCCTCCCCTCTCCCCCCTCCCCTCTCCCCTCTCCCTTCTCCTCCCCCTCTTTCTCCCCTCTCTCCCCAGGTGTACGTGGGCGCCAAGTGCGTCAACTTCGCCTTCCCCAGCGAGTTCCTGCAGGGCTGGCTGATGGGGTCGGCCATCATCTGGATCAACGCCGAGTCCACCCTTCTCTAACCCATCTCCACCGCCCTCCACCCATCACCACCCCTTCCATCCCCTCCCCTCCTCCCCAGGTGTACGTGGGCGCCAAGTGCGTCAACTTCGTCTTCCCCAGCGAGTTCCTGCAGGGCTGGCTGATGGGGTCGGCCATCATCTGGATCAACGCCGAGTCCACCCTCTTCCAACCCATCCAAACCCCTCTCCACCCATCACCACCCCTTCCATTTCCTCCCTCTCAGGTGTATGTGGGCGCCAAGTGCGTCAACTTCGTCTTCCCCAGCGAGTTCCTGCAGGGCTGGCTGATGGGGTCGGCCATCATCTGGATCAATGCCGAGTCCACCCTCCTGGGCAACCTCTCCGAGTGCAGCGGCGTGCTTGGCCGGGCGCTGGCGCTAAAGGACAAAGCGGAGCATGCGCAGGGGCATGGGCATGGGCACGGGCATGGGCATGAGGCGAGGAGGAGGTCGTCTGAGGGGGAGAATGGAGGCGGATTGGAGGTGACCACCTCTGCTGCCGGCTCACACGGCTCTACCAGGTCAGCGGTGGGGTTCATGAGTTTGTGTCGGGAAGTTTCCAATTTCTCAATCTATCCGACACACCCACCCACTGTACCGGCCACCCTTTCCAGGTCAGCTCTTAAGCTGCCTAGGAAAAAGAGCCGTAACAGGATGATCAGCCACCCTTGATTAAGGCTCACTTTCTCCGCTCCTCGTTTGCTTCGCATCCTCCCGTCCGCCCCTTAAACCCACACCTGCAGCGGAGCAAAGAAGGCGGCTCGTGGGCCCAGCGGCAAGCAGCAGGGGCAGGAGGAGGCGCTAGATGAGACAGCTCTTAGAGGGGACAAGGGAATCCGTTTTGAGAAGGTTCTGACCCCCCGGCAGTACCTGCTGCGCTCCATCGGCCTGGCCTACAAAGAGCTGCCCCTTATAGTCACGGGCTTCACCTGCCTTGCTGTCACCTCGGGTGCCGGGCTGCTCATCCCCACCTACCAGGTAAGAGGGAGAGAATGACAAGCCATTTTTGAAACGTCTCAAAACTGCAATGTGGCAAGTGTCCAGAATAAAACTTCTTAACTTTATTTGAGGCTCAAAGCCCCCCTTGCCCGTAAGCCCCCTCGCTCCCTCATCACAGGATAAACCCTGTCCCCGTGCGTGCTTAGCTCCCACCCCCTCTTCCCTCCCTCCAGGCATCGTGAACGATGTGAAGAACGCCCACGTGGATAAATCCCAGTTCCACTGGGACGTGCTGGCCATGGCGCTCTGCTCTCTCATCACCATTGCCACTCCCTACATCCCACACTCTCTCCCTCCCTCCAGGCCTCGTGAACGATGTGAAGAACGCCCACGTGGACAAGGCCAGGTTCCATTGGGTTTTGATTGAGACGTCTCAAAAGTCTTCCCTCCCTCCAGGCATCGTGACCGATGTGAAGAACGCCCATGTGGACAAGGCCAAGTTCCATTGGGACGTGCTGGCCATGGCGCTCTGCTCTCTCATCACCATTGCCACTCCCTACATCCCACACTCTCTTCCCTCCCTCCAGGCATCGTGAACGATGTGAAGAACGCCCACGTGGATAAAGCCCAGTTCCATCGGGACGTGCTGGCCATGGCGCTCTGCTCGCTCATCACCGGCATCTTCGGCGGCCTGCGCGGCCTCTGCTTCTCCCTTGTGGTGCCTTTCTCCCGCCTGTCTCTGAGGCACAAATGTCCCCGTGAGCATGGGGCCCATCGCTCCCTCATCACTGGATAAACCCTGTCCCCGTGCTCCACTCCCACCTCTTCTTTGCTCCCTTCCTTCCTCAGGGTCGCATTGTGGATGATGTGAAGGACGGGCACGCCGATAAAGCCCAGTTCCATCGGGACGTGCTGGCCATGGCGCTCTGCTCGCTCATCACCGGCATCTTCGGGGGCCTGCGCGGCCTCTGCTTCTCCGTCGTCGGCAAGCGCGTGCTCAAAACCCTCCAGGACAAGCTCTTCGAGGGCGTGATCATCCAAGACATCGCGTATTTCGACTCGACAACCACTGGAGAGTTGACTTCCCGGCTGACCAATGACGTGGCTGCTATGTCTGAGCCGATTAACTGGCAGCTGTCGGCGCTGGTGCGGAATCTGGCGTCGCTGGTGGGCGGCGTGCTGCTGTGCTTTGTGACGTCGTGGAAGCTCAGTATTCTCGCGTTCACCACCATGGCGCCCATTCTGCACATCACAGCGGTGTACTCGCGCTGGTCCCGGGACCTCAACAGGAAGCGATACGCGGTAAGCGGGAGGGAGGAATAGAGGTGGGTGCTGGGGAGTGGCTGAAGGTGTAATGGCGGTGGTGCAGTGTGGTGGGGAGCGATGCATTGCTGTGCATTGTAGTCATCAATGTGCTGCTGTGCTTTGTGACGTCCGAGTATTCTCGCGTTTACCACCATGGCGCCCATTCTGCACATCACTGCTGTCTACTCGCGCTGGTCCCGGGACCTCAACCGGAAGCGCTACGCGGTGAGTGGGAGAAGGATGGGGATGGGGGAGGGGGTGCGGAGAGGTCGGGGAAAGAAGGAACAGGTGGGGTTGGATAGTGTATGACCATTGCTGTTTCCTGTGTCCCTCCATCCCACCCACCCCCCTCCGAGGTGCGAGCAGAGACCAACAGTGCAGCATCAGAGGCTCTCTCCAACATTTGCACAGTGCGGGTAGTGAGGGGATGGAGAGGGAGCAGTATGAGAGCAAGACCATGCTGGCCATGACCTCCCATCCAAGTGTGATGCCTGCCTGTCCTTCCATCCCTGTTCCCTCCCTCCCATCCGCGTTCCCTCCCATCCCTGTGTTCTCCCACTTCCTCCCAGGTGCTCGCAGAGTCCAACAGTGCAGCATCAGAAGCACTGAGCAACATCCGCACAGTGCGCGCATTCTTAACGGAGACGGTGGAGAGGGAGCGGTACGAGAGCAAGACCATGGCGGCCCATCTGTGTCCCTTGTCAACCCCACCACTCCCTTCCCTCCCTCCCCTCCCTCACCTGCGCCCTTCCCTCCCGGGTGCTAGCAGAGGCCAACAGTGCAGCATCCGAGGCACTGAGCAACATCCGCACAGTGCAGGAATTCATCCCTCTCTCTCTTTGCCATCCCCACCGCTCCCTCCCCTCCCTCACCTGCGCCCTTCCCTCCCAGGTGCTCGCAGAGGCCAACAGTGCAGCATCAGAGGCACTGAGCAACATCCGCACGGTGCGAGCATTCTCAACGGAGGTGGTGGAGAGGGAGCGGTATGAGAGCAAGGCCATGGCAGCCATGGCCCCCCATCCCATCCCTGTGTGCTTTCTGTCCTCCCATCCCTGTTCCCTCCCATTTTCATTCCCCACTCCCTGCCATCCCCGTTTCCTGCCATCCCCGTTCCCTGCCATTCCTGTGTCCTCCCACTTCCTCCCAGGTGCTAGCAGAGGCGAATAGCGCTGCATCGGAGGCACTGTCCAACATCCGCACAGTGCGGGCATTCTCAACGGAGGTGGTGGAGAGGGAGCGGTACGAGAGCAAGACCATGCTGGCCATGACCTCCCATCCAAGTGTGATGCCTGCCTGTCCTTCCATCCCTGTTCCCTCCCTCCCATCCCCGTTCCCTCCCATCCCTGTGTTCTCCCACTTCCTCCCAGGTGCTAGCAGAGGCCAACAGTGCAGCATCCGAAGCCCTATCCAACATCCGCACAGTGCAGGAATTCATCCCTCTCTCTCTTTGCCATCCCCACCGCTCCCTCCCCTCCCTCACCTGCGCGCCTTCCCCTCCCAGGTGCTAGCAGAGGCCAACAGTGCAGCATCAGAAGCACTGAGCAACATCCGCACAGTGCGGGCTTCATTTTCATTCCCCACTCCCTGCCATCCCCGTTTCCTGCCATCCCCGTTCCCTGCCATTCCTGTGTCCTCCCACTTCCTCCCAGGTGCTAGCAGAGGCAAATAGTGCAGCATCGGAGGCACTGTCCAACATCCGCACAGTGCGGGCATTCTCAACGGAGGTGGTGGAGAGGGAGCGGTACGAGAGCAAGACCATGGCGGCCATGGCCAAGGGCGTGAGGGACGCCCTCGCCTACTCGGGTGCCGTCGCCATCAACAACTGGCTCGACCTGGGGGCTTCTGTACTTATTCTCTGGTGGGTCTAGCCTTCTTACTATGTCGTTCCGGGCCCGTGCTAGGCCCCTGTTGGGCTCCTGTTGGTTAGGCCTAGGTGGTCTAGGGTGGCTTGCCTCAAGCCCAGTCCAGCAGCTGACTCAATGGCGTGGGGAGTCGAGAGCAAGACCATGGCGGCCATGGCCAAGGGCGTGAGGGACGCCCTCGCCTACTCGGGTGCCGTCGCCATCAACAACTGGCTCGACCTGGGCGCCTCCGTCCTCATTCTCTGGTGGGTCTAGCCTTCTGTTTCGGTGTTTGTAGGGCGTCCGTTGGGTGTTTATGTGGTGGTGTCTTTGGTGCCGTTGCCATCAACAACTGGCTCGACCTGGGGGCGTCTGTCCTCATCCTCTGGTGGGTTTGGGCCGTGTGCTGGCCGTGTGTGTGGCATGTGTGTGGCATATGTGTGGCATGTGTGTGGCATGTGTGTGGCATATGTGTGGCATGTGTGTGGCATGTGTGTGGCATATGTGTGGCAAGTGTGAGAGTGCCTATGCGGTCTGGTTTGTCCCAAGCGCCATCAACAACTGGCTCGACCTGGGCGCCTCCGTGCTCATCCTCTGGTGGGTCCTGGTGCTTGTTGCAGGGCGTGTGTTGGGCCCCCCTCTTCCTCACTACTCCCCTTTTCTCCTCCCGCTTCACACCCTTCAGGTACGGGGGCTTGCTGGTGATGGAAGGGCACATGCGCCTGGGCCAGCTGATCGCCTTCCAGCTCTACTGGAATTTGATCCAGTCGGGGGGTACTAAGATCTTCATTCCATCTCCCTCATTCCATCTCCCTCATTCCATCTCCCACTTTCCCCCTTCCCCCCGTTCCTCTCCCCCGTTTCAAACCTTACAGGTATGGAGGCGTGCTGGTGATGGAGGGGCACATGCGCCTGGGCAGCTCATCGCCTTCCAGCTCTACTGGAACCTCATCCAGTCGGGGTATCAGAGCATCATGTCGGTCCCCCTCTCCCCCCCATTCCTGTCCTCTATTTTATAAATCCTTCAGGTACGGAGGAGTGCTGGTGATGGAAGGGCACATGCGCCTGGGCCAGCTGATCGCCTTCCAGCTCTACTGGAATTTGATCCAGTCGGGGTATCAGAGCATCATGTCTGTCCCCCTCTCCCCCCCATTCCTGTCCTCTATTTTATAAATCCTTCAGGTACGGAGGAGTGCTGGTGATGGAAGGGCACATGCGCCTGGGCCAGCTGATCGCCTTCCAGCTCTACTGGAATTTGATCCAGTCGGGGTATCAGAGCATCATGTCTGTCCCCCTCTCCCCCCCATTCCTGTCCTCTATTTTATAAATCCTTCAGGTACGGAGGAGTGCTGGTGATGGAAGGGCACATGCGCCTGGGCCAGCTGATCGCCTTCCAGCTCTACTGGAATTTGATCCAGTCGGGGTATCAGAGCATCATGTCTGTACTCATGTCCCTCACCAAGGCCTCTGGTGCTGCTCAGAGGGTGCTCTCTCTCATCGACTCTCTCCCAGATATTGACCCTGACGCGGGCACCAAGGTGTGTGGGCATTTAACTAGTAGTGGGTGTGTGGAGTGGGGTCCAGTCGGGGTACCAGAGCATCATGTCTGTGCTTATGTCCCTCACCAAGGCCTCCTTGTCACTCTGGCTCTTTATTTCCCCCATTGTCAACTACCTGGTGTTCATGTTACAGGGACCCATCCGCATGGAGGACGTGCATTTCCACTACCAGATGCCTTTAAGCAACACCCCAATCAACCTTCCATTCCATGTCGTCCCGTTCCCTGTGTTTCCCCATTATCACTCTTCAGGTGTCCACGCTGCAGGGCTCCATTCGCATGGAGGACGTGCACTTTCACTACCAGATGCCTGCAACACCCTTACAACCCTCCATTCCATGTCGTCCCGTGCCCTGTGTTTCCCCATCATCACTCTTCAGGTGTCCACGCTGCAGGGCTCCATCCGCATGGAGGATGTGCACTTTCACTACCAGATGCCTGCAACACCCTTACAACCCTCCATTCCATGTCGTCCCGTGCTCTGTGTTTCCCCATCATCACCCTCCAGGTGTCCACGCTGCAGGGATCCATTCGCATGGAGGACGTGCATTTCCACTACCAGATGCGACCAGAGCACCCCGTGCTCAAAGGTGTGTTGCCGTTGCACCCCAATCAAAGGATGCGCCTTGCCCGGGTAGAGCCCTGCCCTATTTCAATAGTGCCCTGTTTTGGTGTCACCACCTTCTCTGTACTGATTTTTGAGTCAACCTAAAAGGCACTTTCAGTACCAGATGCGCCCAGGCCATCCCGTGCTCAAAGGTGCATTGCTTTAGCGCCCTCGTAGCACCCTGGTACCGCCCTGCACTGGTTGTTGCACTACCAGATGCGCCCAGACCATCCCGTGCTCAAAGAACCACTCCTTTCTTCTGCCTTACCTTGTCCCTCTTTTACCTCCGACCAGGAGTATCCCTCCACGTGGACGCAGGCCAAGTGCTGGCCCTGGTGGGTCGCAGCGGCGGAGGCAAGTCCACCGTGGTGCATCTCCTCATGCGCTTCTACGATCCTGTGCAAGGCCGCATCGTGATGGACGGCCGAGATCTGCGCGAGCTGAATCTACGGTCGGTGCACGCGCACATGGGGCTGGTGGCGCAGGACACGCAGATGTGGGCATGCAGCATTGAGGAGAACATCGCTTATGGCTTGCCTTCCTACACTCGAGCTGAGGTTGAAGAGGCTGCCAAGTGAGTGCCGTTTATTGGGATATGCAGGACATGGGGCTGGAATGCACTGCACGCACACATGAGGGGCTGGTGGCGCAGGACACGCAGATGTGGGCATGCAGCATCGAGGAGAATATCGCGTATGGCTTGCCTTCCTACACTCGAGCAGAGGTTGAAGAAGCTGCCAGGTGAGTAACGCGCGCACACAAGGCTGGCTAGATTAGATCGTCCGCACATGGGGCTGGTGGCGCAGGACACGCAGATGTAGGCATGCAGCATCGAGGAGAATATTGCTTTTGGGCTGCCTTCCTACACTCGCGCTGAAGTGGAAGAAGCTGCCAAGAGTGAGTCTTTGCAAGTGTAGTGTGCACTGTGCAAGCATGTGGGGTCTAGTGGGGTTATCAGCACATGGGGCTGGTGGCGCAGGACACACAGATGTGGGCATGCAGCATTGAGGAGAACGTTGCATACGGCCTTCCGTGTTACACTCGAGCTGAAGTGGGAGAAGCTGCCAAGTGAGTGTGCCTGGGAGATGCAGCACAAGGGGATGTAGCAACTTATGAAGCGCCTCAAAGGGCGCATGTGTGTGTGCACAATTAAATGTGAGCATGCGAGGTCGCGTACGCACGCGTGGGGAAGAATTCGAGGAGAAAACTCAGACGTGTTCAATCTGTTTGCTCTCTTCTCTCCTCACATCCCTCCCTCCCAGGCACCCCAACGCACATGATTTCATCACCAAGCTCCCCGAGGGGTACGCCACATGCCGGGCTTGTGGGACAGCTTTATCCTGAACTGGTTTTCTCTGTGCTTATTTTGCATCCTCCCCTCCCAGGCACGCCAACGCACACGATTTTATCACCAAGTTCCCCGAGGGGTATGCCACTCGCGTGGGGGGGCTTGTGGGAGTGCTTATTGCGGAATTGATTTCCTGTGTCTTTCTCTCACATCTCTTCCTTGCAGGCATGCCATCGCACATGATTTCATCACCAAGTTCCCCGAGGGGTATGCCACTCGCGTGGGGGGGCTTGTGGGAGTGCTTATTGCGGAATTGATTTCCTGTGTCTTTCTCTCGCATCTCTTCCTCCCAGGCACGCCAACGCACACGAATTCATCACCAAGTTCCCCGAGGGGTATGCCACATGCCGGGCTTGTGGGACAGCTTTACACACATGGAGAAACGAACTGTTGAACTAACTGGCTTTGTTCTTTCCTCGCTTCCCTCCCTCCCAGGCACGCCAATGCGCATGATTTTATCACCAAGTTCCCCGAGGGGTATGCCACTCGCGTTGGGGAGAGGGGAGTGCGACTCTCAGGCGGCCAGAGGCAGGTGAGACCAACAGAAGCCAGGTGAGACCAACAGAGGCAGGTGAGACTCACCAGAATCTCAGGTGGCACGAATCAAATGTCAAATGTCAGCACATGGCATGAATTCAGATTTGGAATATAAAGATTCAGATGAGGAGAGGGTAGCTTGGCGAGTCTGTGGCCCACTCGTCAAAGGTTGTGTGATTCGTTTTATTCACAAAAACGAAGTTCACTTGTGATAGAATCATCACCCTCAATCCCTACATGTTCCCGCTCTTCCCCTCTCCTCTCCACAGCGCATAGCCATAGCTCGCTTGCTGCTGCGTCGCCCGTGCGTGCTGCTATTGGATGAGGCCACGTCAGCATTAGACGCAGAAAGCGAGGCACTGGTGCAGGGCGCTCTTGACCGGCTGATAGCGGAGGGCGGGCGCACCATCGTGCTCGTGGTTCACCGCCGATTAGTCTATGTTTCAGGCAGTCAGCACCCCCTTACACCCCCTCTTCCCCTCCCTCCCTCCCTTCCTCTCTCCCTCCCTCCCTCCCTCCCTCCCTCTCTCTAACTGCAGCGCATAGCCATTGCTCGCATGCTGCTGCGCCGCCCCCGAGTTCTTTTGTTAGACGAGGCCACGTCAGCCTTAGATGCGGAGAGCGAGGCGCTGGTGCAGGGTGCTCTTGACCGGCTGATAGCGGAGGGCGGGCGCACCATCGTGCTCGTGGCCCACCGCCTCTCCACCGTGCGCAATGCTGACAGCATCTGCGTGCTGGAAGGGGGAAAGGTGGCTGAGAACGGGACTCACGAGCAGCTGCTGGAAATACGTGAGTGGCTGGGTGGGTGGAAGGGTGGGTGGAGGGCGGGCGCACCATCGTGCTCGTGGCTCACCGCCTCTCCACCGTGCGCAATGCTGACAGCATCTTCGTGCTGGAAGGGGGAAAGGTGGCTGAGAACGGGACTCACGAGCAGCTGCTGGAAAAACGTGAGTGGCTGGGTCCCTGTGTGAGAGAGGTACCATACTACACTAGAGTCGAGCACAGGACCAGAACTTGTCGTCACCCCTCATTTCCATCCTGCCTCCTTTGCGGCCTCCCGGTCCCCAACCACTGTTATGGTACTTGTTGTTGTCACCTGTGCATTCCCCGCAGCAAATGGAGTGTACGAGAGGTTGGTCCGACGGCAGCTGAGCAAGGCAGCCAACACTCTTGGGGGAATTGAGTCGTCAGCTGCAGCAGCCGACAAGCATGATCGTATTGACTCCTTGATAGAGGAAGTGCACTGAGGTGCACTGGTGTTTGCACAGATGATTCGATATGATCACCTTCGCAGTCCTAGTGCAGCAGACATTGTAGGGAGAATTATTAATTGACAATGTCTTCATTGAGTGAAGCGCAGAATCTTTATACCACATACATTCAGAGTGCCAACTATGGGGAGGAAATTACATACCCAGCCTGGCATGAACTTTCAGCCTCGGCCTTTTGGCTAAGATTTTGGTCTGCAACAGTTACTCATTCACTGGAAAATGTTTTTGGTTTTTCTTTTCTCCTTTTCTTTAATCCCATTTCAGTTTTGATTTGGTCCCCGTGTGGGGAGGGGTGCGCCTTCCTCAGAGATAGTGCAATACTGAGGCGACGCGTGCAGGGCCGACCAGCAAGCTGGCCATTGGCACCTGCCCCCGAAAGAAATTAATTTAATATCATGTGGACCGATGGTCCACGTATCAGATATTAAACTGATAAGAACAGATACTACACTTGATCTTAGCCAAAAGGCCGAGAAAGGTATGCCTTCTCATTTCCAAACTTTAGCTCTTATTTCCCGAAAATTGCACTGTCCGACTCTTTGGTATGGGCCAAGTTGCTGACGTGGATAGCTGGTGGCTTTCCTCGGGATACATCCTTTCAACCCAAATGCGTGCCTGCTGGCGCTCCCCGTCACTCCCAATTCATCCCGCCCTGTTTTCGTGTTTCCGGCTAAGTTACAGAGATCTTTTTCAACAACCTCAGCTTTTGCTAAGCAACAGAGATCTGTTTCGGCGAAGTGCAGCTTTTGTTCCACAACCTCAGCTTCCACACATTGGCATCGTCGCTGGCGGCAGTGGCGGCGGCGCGTCAGTCCACGTATCCTTAGGTCGTGGCGCTTTGGTTTCAACTACGTTCGTCTACTAATCAGCGAAGTAAAGCACCGTATTACGGCCTTAGTTCTTGCGAGTGCTGTTCTTCTTGGGCTTCATCGCTTCCGTTCGGTGCCGTTCTTGGCTCTGCTTTTTCGATTTTATGAATGCTTTTGTAGAACTTTTGATACAGACTTCCGTGGTTTCTTTGTCGTCGCTCGCTCGGGGCGTACTGCTGAGCGTTGAGAACTCACGCTCAGGTTGTGCGTTGAGGAACTAAACTGAAGTTGACGTGAAACCGCGGCTGACAGCCAGGCTCCTTGCTCTTCGCGGCCCCTCTCCTAGTAGATTCTTGTTCCACGCCAATGGTTAACGGTTTCAATTTCCCCTCCCGTTTCCGTCCAGGAGTTTCTCAACGATTTCCTACGGTTTTTTTTTTTTTTTTTTTTTACCATCTCCGCCTTGCCTTGCAGTTATAGCTTCCTGACGAGCCGTGCCCGCCACGCGCAACGCTACTGCTCTGCCTGTTCCGCGTCTCTCCGTTCTTCCTTCCGTACCTCACATTCATTCTACGCACCGCACCGTGCTATGATCCCCCGTATCCCTTCCCACAATCCTCATGCTCCCTCGCAGGTCCCGCGCTGAATATGCAGATTCTTATTCCTCGTTCGCAAGGCGATTAGGCGACTATTCCTCGTTCGTAATGCGATTAGGCGATTATTCCTCGGTCGCAGACTTTCTGGAAACAGCTAGCCGTTTGTTCCACTCCTGTTTTGCTAATGGTTCCGACGGACTTGCATTTCTGTCAGCTTGCTGGTGCAAGGTGTTGTGCAGCATTTGTGGGATGAGATGGCTTCCGCTCTGTACTCGCTTCTGCGCGTTTCACGCTTGCTGCTAAGCGGACAGTATGTAACAACTGTTGGGCTACCATTTGTTCAGAGATATTTGATTGGTGTACCAATGTATATTCCTTCAAATCATCACTCTAGTGGCTGATTGAACTGATATAATCCTAGACTCTTTATTTTTTCAGGTTGACCTGCCTACAGCGTTTCGGGTGTTAGGAGTGAGCAGACTGTGTCAAGCTCCCTTGGCACAGAATTGCTTCCACAAGATGGTTAGCAGATCCGTTTCCTGCTTTTCTTTTTCTTTTCCTCTGCGGGAACTGTAGCGGCGGCACTGTAGCGGCGGTGCTGATCCGGTCCGGTTGTTTACTGATCCGGTTGTAGCGGAGAGAAAGAGGGCACGCACTGTACCGGGCTGGCTGCACCTGGAAAGCATTTTTGAGGCGCCTTCAAAGTATACCGGACCGGCCTGCCGCAAATTTCTTGGCACAGGTGCAGTGGCTTTACTTGGCACGGAAGTCGTGCCGGAAAATGGTTAGGTTCTGAGTGAACTTGTCCCGGTTCTTGGGGTCGAGGTTTCGCCCCACATCCGCCATCAGCTTGTCAAAGCACTCCGCTATGCGCGGCCGCTGGTCTGATGGCTGGGGAGAGGGAGATTTGGAGAGAGGGAGAGAGGGAGTAAAGGTGAATTGAAATATTAGGGAGACACAGAGGCACTGCGATATTGGGGAGGGGGAGGGGGGAATCCGTTGAGGCTACTGAAGGGACAAAACAACGGAGAATTGAGGATGGTGGAGAAGTGAGATTTGGGGTCCAGGTTCCGCCCCACGTCCGCCATCAGCTTGTCAAAGCACTCAGCTATGCGCGGCCGCTGATCCGATGGCTGGGAGATAGGGATATCAAGAGGCATGGATGTAGGGAGAGGGGAGACATGTAGGGAGGGAGACAAGAAGGCAGGGAGAGGGGGAGGAGAGGGGAAGGGGAGGGGCCGGGGGTGTTGAAGGCTATTGAAGAGACAAGAGAATGGAAAAGTGAGGGTGGTGGGGAAGTGAGAGTTGGGGTCCAGGTTCCGCCCCTCATCCGCCATCAGCTTGTCAAAGCACTCCGCTATGTGCGGCCGCTGATCCGATGGCTGTCAAAGGGAGGGGGGGGATGAAGATGGGGTAAGGTAATGGACAGGCGGAAGGAGGGATGGGAGGGAGGTGGCCAAGGAGGGAAGGACGAAGCAAGGGAGAATGAGAAAAAAGAAACGGGATGAAAATGTCTGGATTTGATACAACCGACATAATTTGGAACAACTTTTTATGAATCAAAACAATACCAGGCAGAGAATATGTCCCGTAGAGAGGAGGACAGGGATGTGTGCGCGTGATATCCCTGTGAGCTGTTTCTTGAGCAGGATGAGAGCGACGTGAGAGAGCAAGACAATGTGTGGCTGTGTGTGCCCGTGTGCGTGCCTATGTGTGCTCGCACGTGACATACTTGAGAGGAGAGTACTTGTAGCTTGAGGTCGTTATAGAGCTGCTTGTTGACGAGGATGAGAGAGAGCATGACGATGTGTGTGCGTGAGAGTGCGCGCGTGCGTGTGCTCATGCGTGACATACTTGAGAGGAGAGTATTTGCAGCTTGAGGTCGTTGTGAAGCTGCTTGTTGACAAGGGTGAGCGCGACTTGACAATGTGCATGTGTGCGTGCACGTCCGTGTGCGTCCGTGTGCGTGTGTGTGCATGCGGGACGTACTTGAGAGGAGAGCATTTGCAGCTTGAGGTCGTTATAGAGCTGCTCGTTGACCAGGATAAGGGAGAGCATGACGATGTGTGTGCGTGATTGTGCGCACGTGCGTATGCTCATGCGTGACATACTTGAGAGGAGAGTATTTGCAACTTGAGGTCGTTGTAAAGCTGCTCGTTGGCGGGGATGAGGGTGTTGATGGAGGAATATAGAACGTGTGTGCGTGCGTGCGTGTGCATGTGCTTGTGTGTGCGTGCGTATCTGTGCGTGCGCGTGACATACTTGAGAGGAGAGTATTTGCAGCTTGAGGTCGTTGTGAAGCTGCTTGTTGACCAGGATGAGCGCGACTTGACAATGTGCATGTGTGCGTGCACGTCCGTGTGCGTCCGTGTGCGTGTGTGTGCATGCGGGACGTACTTGAGAGGAGAGTATTTGCAGCTTGAGGTCGTTGTAAAGCTGCTCGTTGACCAGGATGAGGGAGAGCATGATGTGTGAACGTGCGTGTGTGCGTATGCGTTAGTGGGCGTGCGTGTGTGTGCTGACATACTTGAGAGGAGAGTATTTGCAGCTTGAGGTCGTTGTAAAGCTGCTCGTTGACCAGGATGAGGGTGACGAGAGAGAACGGGAATAATGTGTCTCTGTGTGTGTGTGTGCCTCCATGAACGTGCATACGTGTGCAAGCGCACATGACGTACTTGAGAGGAGAGTATTTGCAGCTTGAGGTCGTTGTAGAGCTGCTCGTTGACCAGGATGAGGGAGAGCATGGGTCTGCTGAGGCTCCACTGGTTGGCACAGTCCTCGAATAACACGATCTCGAACAGTGTCTTGAGGATCTGTAAATGAGAGAGCAGGGAGAAGGGCAGGGAGAGCAGAAAGGACAAGGGGCACGAGGAGAAAAAGAAGGCATGACAATTGAGCGAAAGTGTGGGTCTGCTGAGGCTCCACTGATTGGCACAGTCCTCGAATAACACGATCTCGAACAGCGTCTTGAGGATCTGATGGTAGCATCGGAAGCACAGAGAGAGCAGAGAGGGAAGACAGGGCAGTCAAGAAAGAATGTGTGGTGGTGAGAGGAAGTGGAGATGAGGCTAGAGGGACAGCAAAGTACACCTCTCAGAGCCTACTGGTTGGCCAGTGCTCGAATAAGTGAAAACCGTCAACAGCGAGAAAGAATGTGTGATGGTGAGAACGACTTGCCTCGGGGAAGAGCGTGGGGCACTCAGCCAAGTGTTGCGCGATGGTGAGAGCAGCAGGCGAGAGGAGGGCTTTTGAATTGTGTCAAAACTGTTGAGACGACTTCGAGACGTCTCAGAGAAGGTGGCTAACAAGGTTGAAACAAATGTGTCAAGGAGTGTTGGGTGGCTTGCCTCGGGGAAGAGCGTGGGGCACTCAGCCAAGTGTTGCGCGATGGTGAGAGCAGCAGGCGAGGAGGGCGCATCCCCTGCCGTGACGTTGTTGAAGTAGTAGGCTGCTAGGTTGTCCACTGCTGACGCGCACTGCATTGACGCGTACGGGGGCAGGAAACGAGGGAGGGGAGGACAGATTCAAAAGGGTTGGAAAGAAGGGAGCATCCCCTGCTGTGACGTTGTTGAAGTAGTAGGCTGCTAGATTGTCCACTGCTGACGCGCACTGCAGTAATGTGTAGAGAGAAGGAAGGGGAGGACAGATTCAAGAGAGGTTGGAGAGGAGGGCACATCCCCTGCTGTGACGTTGTTAAAGTAGAAGGCTGCTGTGGTGAGGAGAAAAGGAGGCGAAGACAGAGTTTAGAGGGGTTGGAATGGAAAAGGCATCGTCTGCTGTGACGTTGTTGAAGTTATAGACTGCTAGATTGTCCACTGCTGAGGCGCACTGTAGCGACGGGGGAGGGGGGGGGGGGTGTGTTCGAAGGGTGGGGAGAAAATCGTCAAGAGGAGTTAATATGTAAAGGGCATCCCCTGCTGTGACGACGTTGAATGATAGGCTGCTGGATTGTCCACTGCTGAGGCGCATTGGAGTGACATGGAGGGGATGGAAGGGGAAAGTAAGGGGAGAGGTGCTGGGATTCAAGAATCTTTGCAGATCTTGGGACATTTTCCAGTGAGCAGCAGTGCTTAGGTTCAGGCTTAAGCAAGTAAGAAAAAACAGTGTAAATATAACACTAGCTAATAGGCGCGAGTCTGTGAAACCGGAACTCTTCTCGTTAACAGAAACTAAAGTAAGGGGAGAGGTGCTGGGATTCAAGAATCTTCGAAAAGGGAGGAGGGAGGGTCAGGAAAGCGAAGCATGGTACGAGAGAGAACGCGAGGGTGGACAGGCCACTCACCTTGCACCCAGAATCCACCAGCACACCACTCTTCCCTGATGCTGCAGGGTGATTTTGAGAATTCTCAAAAACACCAGCACACCACTCTTCCCTCACTATTTACCGCGAGTGTTTTTTTAGAATTCTCAAAAAACACTCGCTGCAATATATACAAGCACCGCTTCTCATCCCAAGGTCCCACCCCACCCCCCACGTACCTGAGACGAAATGGAGACGTCAAGGCCCTTGAGCCCTGTGTCCAGCGACCCCACCAGGTGGCTGAACGGTGAACAGGGTGCTACCATCCACACACCCAGATTCCACCCGTCCAGATCTCTCCCTCACCCCCACGCCCCCACACACCTGAGACGAGATGGAGACGTCAAGGCATTTGAGCCCTGTGTCCAGCGACCCCACCAGGTGGCTGAACGGTGTGTTGCCTACGACACACCCACCCTGCAATCCCCAGACTCAAACCTCTTTCCTCCTCTCTCACACCACTCACCTGCGAGGAGATGGAGACATCCAAGCACTTGAGCCCTGTATCCAGCGATCCCACCAGGTGGCTGAACGTGGCGGTGGGCAGGTTGATGATGACAAGCGTGTGGTTGTGGCAGAGCACTTCCAAGAAAGCAAAGTAGGCCCGGGCGAGCTGTGGAGTGGGGTGTAAGAAGGGTGGCATGGGAGACAGGAGTCAAAAGAGAAGGTGGGTGAAAGTGGCGGTGGGCAGGTTGATGATAACAAGCGTGTGGTTGTGGCAGAGGACCTCCAGGAAGGCGAAGTATGCGCGGGCCAACTGTGGAGTGGGGTGTAAGAAGGGTGGCATGGGAGACAGGAGTCAAAAGAGAAGGTGGGTGAAAGTGGCGGTGGGCAGGTTGATGATAACAAGCGTGTGGTTGTGGCAGAGGACCTCCAGGAAGGCGAAGTATGCGCGGGCCAACTGTGGAGTGGGGTGTAAGAAGGGTGGCATGGGAGACAGGAGTCAAAAGAGAAGGTGGGTGAAAGTGGCGGTGGGCAGGTTGATGATAACAAGCGTGTGGTTGTGGCAGAGGACCTCCAGGAAGGCGAAGTATGCGCGGGCCAACTGTGGAGTGGGGTGTAAGAAGGGTGGCATGGGAGACAGGAGTCAAAAGAGAAGGTGGGTGAAAGTGGCGGTGGGCAGGTTGATGATAACAAGCGTGTGGTTGTGGCAGAGGACCTCCAGGAAGGCGAAGTATGCACGGGCGAGCTGCGGGGGTTTTGGGAGGGAAGAGAATGGGTAGGTGGATGGGAAGAGTGGGAACGTGGCGGTGGGCAGGTTGATGATGACAAGCGTGTGGTTGTGACAGAGGACCTCCAGGAAGGCGAAGTATGCGCGGGCGAGCTGCGGGGGTTTTGGGAGGGAAGAGAATGGGTAGGTGGATGGGAAGAGTGGGAACGTGGCGGTGGGCAGGTTGATGATGACAAGCGTGTGGTTGTGACAGAGGACCTCCAGGAAGGCGAAGTATGCGCGGGCGAGCTGCGGGGGTTTTGGGAGGGAAGAGAATGGGTAGGTGGATGGGAAGAGTGGGAACGTGGCGGTGGGCAGGTTGATGATGACAAGCGTGTGGTTGTGACAGAGGACCTCCAGGAAGGCGAAGTATGCGCGGGCGAGCTGCGGGGGTTTTGGGAGGGAAGAGAATGGGTAGGTGGATGGGAAGAGTGGGAACGTGGTGGTGGGCAGGTTGATGATGACAAGCGTGTGGTTGTGGCAGAGGACCTCGAGGAATGCAAAGTAGGCCCGGCCCGGGCGAGCTGTGGGACAGGGGGAAAAACAGAGAGTAGTCGCTTGTGAGAATGATATAGGGGGAAATCTCAAAAGACAGACATGGTATGGTCGGTGAAGAAACAAATCCGAGGGGTAGCAGAAAGCCATTCGGGAGAAGGATGGGGAGGCATACAAAACGCCAAAATCAGACCTTTCATGACGCTCCTAGTTTCAGGAAAACAAGCGTCAAGGGAAGCACACGAACCTTTCTGAATGCCATGATTTCAGGCAGAGGGATGGAGAGGCAGAGCTTTAGCGCCACATCGAGAGCATCGGGCAGGGCAGTGTCCCCGTACAGCTCCATCACCCCGAAATTGACGTAGTTGCCCGCCAGAGCTGCAATGAGAAGGAGGGAATGTGGGGGAAGAGAGAGGGGGGGCCAAAAGGGGGAACATGAGCATCGGGCAGGGCAGTGTCCCCGTACAGCTCCATCACCCCGAAATTGACGTAGTTGCCCGCCAGAGCTGCAATGAGAAGGAGGGAATGTGGGGGAAGAGAGAGGGGGGGCCAAAAGGGGGAACATGAGCATCGGGCAGGGCAGTGTCCCCGTACAGCTCCATCACCCCGAAATTGACGTAGTTGCCCGCCAGAGCTGCAATGAGAAGGAGGGAATGTGGGGGAAGAGAGAGGGGGGGCCAAAAGGGGGAACATGAGCATCGGGCAGGGCAGTGTCCCCGTACAGCTCCATGACCCCGAAATTGACGTAGTTGCCCGCCAGAGCTGTATTGAGGAGCACAGGGGAAGAGGCAGGAAAGAGGGGAGAGAGGGGCGTAGGAAGGGAAGAGGGGGAAAGGGGTCGAGAGGTTCATGGGCGGCGGGCAAAGCAGTGTCCCCATACAGCTCTATGACCCCGAAGTTGATGTAGTTGCCCGTTAGGGCTGCAGAGAGGAGGGTCGGTCGGAGGGTTGTAAAAGCGGATGGTAAGGAAGGGCAAATGGGGGAGCAGGTGCATGAGGCAGGGCAGTGTCCTCATACAGCTTCATCACTCCGAGATTTGACATAGTTTCTTGCCACGGCTGCATTGAGGAGGGAAAATGGAAGAACGAGGGAAAAGCGGGGTAAATGGGGAAACAGGCGCATCAAGCATGGCACTGTGGGTGCGGTGCGGGCCGGTGGGCATGGGCAGGGCGTGCATGTGCGTGGGTGCACGCAGGTGTAATTGACAAGATGTAATTGACACGGTTGTAACACTCACTCACCTCTTGTCAACACGGCGAGGGCGATCCAAACGCCCTTGTACTTGGCCGTGTAGGGGTGCGCGCAAGTGGGCATGGCCAGGGCGTGGCAAGGGTGTGCTTGTGTCAGGTGCAGGCCGGTAGGGTGCCAGGGACTGATGGATACCTACCTCTAGTCAGCACAGTGAGTGCGATCCAAACGCCCTTGTACTTGGCCGTGTAGGGGTGCGCGCCAGTGGGCATGGCCAGGGCATGCATGTGTTCGTACGGGTGCATGCAGGCCTATAGGTGAATTAGGCGCAGAAACCTACCTCTAGCCAGCACAGTCAGGGCGATCCAAACGCCCTTGTACTTGGCCGTGTAAGGGTGTGCGCCGGTGGGCATGGCGAGGGCATGCTTGCATGCGTATGGATGGGTGCAGGCCTGTAGTGAGCCGGGGATTGATAGACTAGTCATACCTCTCGTTAACACGGTGAGTGCTATCCAAACTCCCTTGTACTTGGCCGTGTAGGGGTGCGCGCCGGTGGGCATGGCGAGGGCATGCTTGCATGTGGGTGCAGGCTGATAGGTAACAAAGTAATCCACACTACATACCTCTTGTCAGCACAGTCAGGGCGATCCACACGCCCTTGTACTTGGCCGTGTATGGGTGTGCGCCGATGGGCATGGCCAGGGCATGCTTGCCATGCATATGGGTGCAGGCCGGTAGTGAGCCAGGGATTGATAGACTCGTCATACCTCTCGTTAACACGGTGAGTGCGATCCAAACGCCCTTGTACTTGGCCGTGTATGGGTGTGCGCCGATGGGCATGGCCAGGGCATGCTTGCCATGCGTATGGGTGCAGGCCGGTAGTGAGCCAGGGATTGATAGACTCGTCATACCTCTCGTTAACACGGTGAGAGCAATCCACACGCCCTTGTACTTGGCCGTGTAGGGGTGCGCGCCGGTGGGCATGGCCAGGGCATGCTTGCCATGCGTATGGGTGCAGGCCGGTAGTGAGCCAGGGATTGATAGACTCGTCATACCTCTCGTTAACACGGTGAGAGCAATCCACACGCCCTTGTACTTGGCCGTGTAGGGGTGCGCGCCGGTGGGCATGGCCAGGGCATGCTTGCCGTACGTCACCACCAGCTTGGAAGCTTCCCGGAAGAGCAGGATTCCATTGGGCGACGACGAGTCAAACGTGAGTCTCTGCGTCTTGTTGACCACGAATTCGGCAAAGAACTTGAGGAGGGGCGTGGTGACCTGGTGGGTAGGAAGGGAAACGGGAATGGAGGGGGTTGTGGGAGGTAAGTGGAGAGCGGAGGAGAGTGAGGAGAAGTCAAACGTGAGTCTCTGCGTCTTGTTGACCACAAACTCGGCAAAGAACTTGAGGAGAGGCGTGGTGACCTGGTGCGGTGAAAGGAAGGGAACAGGGAGGGCAAGGGATGGGGCAAGGCTGAGAACCAGGAGGTGATTGGGGACGAGTCAAACGTGAGTATCTGCGTCTTGTTGACCACAAACTCGGCAAAGAACTTGAGGAGAGGCGTGGTGAACTGGGAAAGAAGAGGAGGGAGAGGAAAGGGGACGAGTCAAACGTAAGTCTCTGTCTTGTTGCTTCTCTTTTTTTTCCTCGACCTTTATGTGCAGCCTCACATGCCACCACTAAAAGAGAATTGGAGCGGAAGGGAGGGGAACCGGTCCATCCTCAGGATGAGCAGCAAGTGGGCGAAAGGGGCGTGTGCGAAAAACAAGCTGGGGGAACAAAAGTCGATGGAGCGTACCGGGCTCTTTTTGAGACGTCTCAAAAACAACCTCTCTACACAAGCTGGGGGAACAAAAGTCGATGGAGCGTACAGGGCTCTTTTTGAGACGTCTCAAAAATAACCTCTCTACACAAGCTGGGGGAGCAAAAGTCGATGGAGCGTACCGGGCTCACCACCACGGAGGTACCGGAACCGAACTGGGCTGCACATTGCGGTGCACAGAATACGAGGCATGTGCGCTCAAGGTGTATGTGGGAAAGAGCTGGGAGGAGCACAAGTCGAGGGGCTCACCGCGGGGGTATCGGAATAGAACTGGGCGGTGCGCAGAATGAGCGGCATGTGGGCGGGGTAGAGCCAGTCAAAGAGCAGCCCGAACGTGCGCCGGCTGATGGGGAGTTCATAACACAGTGGGGGGGGGGGGGGGGGGTGGGGGCGGGGGTAAAGAAGACGGATTTTGCGTGTGGGCAGGATAGAGCAAGTTACATCAAGTCAGGTCTGCTAAGGTAAAGCTTGCCACATACCTGTTAGTGGCCATGGTGATTCCTCTCAAGTCTCTGAAAAGGCCGATGAGGGCAAACTTGATGCAGCAGCAATCAACTGACCGTACAATAACATCTGATGGTGTCAGTACTTACCTGTTAGTGGCCATGGTGATTCTTCCTCTCAAGCCTCTGAACAGGCCAATGAGGGCAACCTTGACTGGCCGATGATGGTACACCATGGCATGACCCATGTACAATAACATCTGATGGTACACCATGGCATGACCCATGTACAATAACATCTGATTGTACACCATGGCATGACCCATGTACAATAACAGCTGATGGTGGCAGCACATACCTGTTAGTGGCCATGGTGATTCCTCTCAAGTCTCTAAAGAGCCCGATGAGGGCGAATTTGACCGGCTCTGTACGGAAGGATGCGTCCGGCATCGACTCCAGCTTCACAAACACCTGAGTGGTGGTGAGGGGTGACGAGGGGTGATGGGAGGTTGGCGAATGGTGCAGAGATAGAGGTACCCCAAGTCAGCCCATGCTTTGACCAACTCTGTGCGGAAGGAGGCGTCTGGCATCGACTCCAGCTTCACAAACACCTGTGTGGTGGTGAGGGGTGATGAGGGGTAGTGAGGAGTATGATGAGGTGGGGGGATATTGGAGAGGAGTGAGGAATGGTGCAGGGGTACAAGCAATTCAGAGGGCAAACTTGACTGGCTCTGTGCACAGAGCAGGCGCGTGAGGGAGGAGTGGAATATGGTGCAGTGCGGTTGGCCTTTTCCCCGTGCTATGCTGTGCCAGGTCAATGCCTTACCAGCTGCAGCGGAGCCACGAATGCTTTGAACTTCTGAGGCGAGTCCTCCATGAACGGCAGGCGCGTGAGAGTGAAGTAGAAGATGGTGCGATTGGCCTTTACACCTTGCTACACTGTGAGTCTGTGACGCCTGTGACAGCCCAGCACCTTACCAGCTGCAGCGGAGCCACAAAGGCTTTGAACTTCTGGGGCGAGTCCTCCATGAAGAGGCGGCGTGTGAGTGTGAAGTAGAAGATGGTGCGGTTGGCCTTTACCCATTGCTATGCCATGACAGGTGAAGTCAACAACGTACCAGCTGAAGGGGAGCCACGAAGGCTTTGAACTTTTGGGGCGAGTCCTCCATGAAGAGCAGGCGGGTGAGCGTAAAGTAAAAGATGGTGCGGTTGGTTCACCCCTTCCTACTCTCGACAGACCAACAAAACCACATACCAGCTGCAGCGGAGCCACGAAGGCTTTGAACTTCTGGGGCGAGTCTTCCATGAAGAGCAGGCGGGTGAGCGTAAAGTAAAAGATGGTGCGGTTGCGCGTGCTGCTCGGCTCGTCCAGGAATGGGAAGTGCTCGCTCTGCCAATCACAGCAGGACACGTGGCAGCATTTAGACGAAGAGAGACGATGTAATATGATGTCAGATGATGAGACCCAAAAGGCCCCCTAATGACAACCATTGGGGACCAAGAGCTTGCAAACTAACTAAACCATATAGACGGACTCACCTCTACCTCTACCCCCGTTCCCTTGCCCCCCGTTCCCTTGCCCCCCCCCGCCTCTCCCTTCCCCATTCTTCCTCCTCATTTTTTTCAGGCACTCCTATGGTCGTCCACCATCTTCCGTAGCACCCCTTCCTCCATCCCCACTCACTTCCTCGTCTACCTGCCCTCCCTCCTTCCTTCCTGCCCCCCTTCGTCCTGAAGTATTTAGCAGCTTACCGTGTGGTTGGCCAAAATGAAATTGACCGAGTCCAGTTTCAACAGCAGCTTGCCACTCATGTAGCTGGGAGAGAGGGGCAAGTCAAAGGGAGGAACGAAGTGAGAATAAATTCAGAGGAGAACAATAGGTGGCAGGTTGCGCACAGGTGGGCTGGAGGAGAAGGGGGAACGTGAGGGTGGATGGATGGGAGGGAGGGAGTAGTGAGAGGAGCAAGTCAGTGGGGAGGTGGAAGGGACGTATGTATTGACAACTAATCAATCTTCTGACACCTCTGACCAGTTCTAACTGTAGCGCCCTCCCCATTACTCACCCTCCTGCCAGCTCTTGGAAAAGGTTCAACGTTTGTTCGATGACGTCCTCGCTCTGATACCAGTAGATAGAGCAGGAGGGTGAGGAGAGACGAAGAAAACGATTCTTATAATTCATCATAAAAAAACACAATCAGGGCGAAAAACGTGACGGCATATGCGAAAAGGGAGAGGGGATGGACGGGTAGATAGTAAAGTAAAGCTCGCACGATGAGAAAGAACGTCGGAGATTCCTACCTTGGTGTAGCACTTGAGGTTGGTGGCTATCTTCGCCACAATCACATTGAGAACCATGAGGTGATCTTGCAAGCCCAGTAGGTCTGCCAGGCGCGCATAGAGGATCTGTGGAGGTCTCACACAGGAGGGAGAGGAGGTTGGAGAAGCGGGGAAGCGAGGAATCTGAGTCATATGCACGCCTAGACACATCACCTGCGCGACTAGACATGTCACCTGTGTGTCTAGACGTGTCATTTGGATGTCCAAGCGTGTCAGACAGGGCTGAATGGTCACCATGGAGGCGTGCATGGCCTGATTGCCCACACAGCGACCCTCTATCAGCTACAGGCGAAAACGTGTTACAGGTTATGCATGACAAGTCACCTTGGCACCCAGGCATGGCTCAACGGTGTCCACCTTGGAGGCGTGCATGGCCTGGTCGCCCACGTAGGCACCAACAGCTACAGGCGAGCTACCTTGAAGGCATGCATGGCATGTCACATGCGCCCTACTCAGCACGTCACATTGGCACCCAGGCATGGCTCAATGGTGTCCACCTTGGAGGCGTGCATGGCCTGGTCGCCCACGTAGACGCGGCGGAAGTTCTGAAAGAAGGAGAGCACCGCCAGGTCCAGCCGCTGCTTGCTGCGCTCATCGTAGCGCTGGTGGGGAGAGGGGGAAGATGAGGAACGAAAGGACGAAAGGTGGGAAATGGAAGGGGGATGAATACAGGTGGCAGAAATTCTGGAAGAAGGAGAGCCCCGCCAGGTCCAACCGCTGCTAGCTGCGCTCGTCGTAGCGCTGAGAGGAGATACAAAGAGTACGAGGGAGAGAGGGAAGGCAAGGAAAGGACGGGGATTTAAAGAGATGGTTGCGTTCTGAAAGGAGGAGAGCACCGGCAGATCCAACCGCTGCTTGCTGCCCTCGTCGTAGCGCTGAAAGCAAAGAAAGAGTGCATGCGAAAGAAGGAAGGAAAGGAGGGGGGGAACAGAGCCGGGATGACAATAAATGGGTAAGTTCTGAAAGGAGGAGAGCACTGGCAGATCCAACCGCTGCTTGCTGCGCTCGTCGTAGCGCTGAAAGCAAGAAACTAATGAGAGATAACGGCAAGGAATTAATCGAGGGAGAATGGTAATAGCTGCTTGAGTTCTGGAAGAAGGAGGGCTTGCTGCACTTGTCATAACGCTGGGGCCAAGAGAGGGGGATAAGAATGGTCAAGTGGCAAGAACAGGCAGAAGTAGAGAAACGTGATTATGAGCAGCAGACAACGGAGAGGACTGCATGGTCCAATCGCTGCTTGCTGCGCTCTTTGTAGCAGGGCACTCTCACGCCTCACCCATACTTCGTATTAACACACACCTCGGCGCCCCCCTCACCTGTGCGTGCAGGCCCGTGTCAGTGACTTGAATGAGCTGGAACACCCTCGCTGCCAGCAGGCCTGCATGCATGCCATCTTACCTCTAGCCCTCCATACCACCCTCAGCCACCCCTTTCAAGTGCCACCCTCTAGCTAGCGCCCCCTCAACTGTGCGTGCAGGCCAGTGTCAGTGACTTAATGAGCTGGAACACTCTCGCTGCCCGCAGGCAAGCACCCACCTCCGCGCCCCCCTCACCTGTGCATGGAGTCCTGTGTCAGTGACTTGAATGAGCTGGAACACCCTTGCTGCTAGCCGGCATGCATGTATGCAGGCCCCCTGACCTGTAGTCTTTCGTATTACCCTCAGGCACCCCTTTCAAGCACCACCACCTTTTTTCACCCCCCTCACCTGTGCATGGAGTCCTGTGTCTGTGACTTGAATGAGCTGGAACACTCTTGCTGCCAGCTCCCCATCAATCAGCTCCTGGGAGTCGCCGCTGCCAGCCAGAACCAACGGAGAGGAGAGAGAGTGAGTGAATGAGTGAGCGGGAGCGTTTATGAGGCGCCTCAAAAGAGTCCTGTGTCTGTGACTTGAATGAGCTGGCTGGAACACCCTTGCTGCCAGCTCCCCATCAATCAGCTCCTGGGAGTCGCTGCTGCAAGTACTCACGGAATTCAGGTGAGTGAGGGAGAGAGAGAGTGAGCATGAGACAGAATGAGAGAGTGAAGGAATCGGAGAGTGAAAAGGCAGCTAGCACTGCATCAGCAGCTGCAATTTGCCACTACCTAAACCAAAGGAATTAAGTAGGAAAGACGATTACTGAGTGAGTGAGTGAGTGAGTGAGTGAGCGAGTGAGTGAGGGAGCACCTGCTGGAGCTGAGTCGGCCCCGGACAATGGCGCCAATGATGTGCACAATCCACGTCAGCTGGCTCTCCATCACCTGTAGCGCCGCCTGGCTGCTGCTGCTTGCCGCTACAGCCGGCTGCCACCGCGCCGCCTCCTGGGATGATTATGAGAAGGGGAAGGGGGGGAAGGGGACGGAGCAGAGTAGATTGGCTCTCCATCACCTGTAGCGCCGCCTGGCTTGTGCTGCTCGCCGCTACAGCCGGCTGCCACCGCGCCGCCTCCTGGGATAGTTAAGAGCAGGGTTGGGGAGGAGAGGATTAGGATGGATTGGCTCTCCATCACCTGTAGCGCAGCCTGGCTTGTGCTACTCGCCGCTACAGCCGGCTGCCACCGCGCCGCCTCCTGAGGTAAACAATGAGTAAGGGGAGAGGAGGGGAGGGTGAAGCACGTCAGCTGGCTCTCCATCACCTGTAGCGCCGCCTGGCTCGTGTTGCTCGCCGCTACAGCCGGCTGCCACCGCGCCGCCTCCTGGAATAGTGAAAAGTAACGGGGCGGGGGAGACGAGGGGGGAGGGGAAGGAGCAGGGTGGATAGGCTCTCCATCACCTGTAGCGCTGCCTGGCTGCTGCTGCTCGCAGCTACAGCCGGCTGCCACCGCGCCGCCTCCTGGGATAATTATGAGAAGGGGAAGGGGGGGAAGGGGAAGGAGCAGAGTAGATAGGCTCTCCATCATCTGTAGCGCTGCCTGGCTCGTGCTGCTCGCTGCTACAGCCGGCTGCCACCGCGCCGCCTACTGGGATGGTGGAAGAGGGGGAGGAGAAGAGGTGGAGGTCGGAGGAGAGAAAGTGGAGGAGAAGAGGTGGAGGCAGGTGGAGAATGGGGTAATGGGAGGCTTGAAGTGAAGAAAATCGTCACAAAGTATTTTTTTACGACAAGAGGAGGAAAGGAAAAAGGGGGGGGGGGGGGGGGGGGGGGTGGGGGAAGGGGGCTTGGAATAAGCTAGAGTAGAGACTGGTAAAGCACACAAACATATCTAGGACAGTTTTTTATGATTTTCTTCTGAGATGATCAGACTCGCTGTATGACTGCATGATGGGGGGTAAATTACTGTTTTTTTTTTCTAGTCGATTCAAAACTGACTGAAAACGAACACGGATGCAAGAGCAGCAAGACAGAGTTCCGTTAGCACTAAGAGCAACGCCTCGTAGTGTAAGGGTCAAACTCACCGTGTATGACTGCATGATGGGCTCTAAATGGCTGATGATGAACTTGCTGGTCCGATCGAACTGCATAAATGGAAATCAGGAAGAGAGAGGCAAAATAGGAGAGGGAAAGACAATAGCATCTTGTTTTGACGGTCTGTAGCTGCAGTCTATAGCTGCACGAAGCGCACAGACACATGCATACCTGGTTTGCAACTTCTAAAATCTAAAGAGACAGCACACCGTTCATACCTGGAACCTGCAGAGGTAGGGGAGGTTGTCTAACTGGTCCTGTAGCTGCTCGTCATTGTCCAGCGGGTCCTCTGACAGGTTGTTCTGAAGCACAGCCTATAAGGGGGATAAAACAAGCAACATAATATCAAACAGTAAATTGGCAGAAGAAGAACAGCCTTGTGCCTTGTGCTATGCACTATGGAGTCTGGAATCTGAAGCACCATGCGCATGCACCATGCACCATGCACGATGCGCCATGGAACATGCACGATGATGCACAATGTGCCATGCACCATGCACCATGCGGCATACACCACGCACCATGCATCTTGAACGATGCATCATGCACCATGGTCCAAAAAAAAAAAAAAAAAAAAAAAAAAAAGGTAACTTCCAACCTGGACGGAGTCGAGGCGGGATGTGATATAGGCCTCGGTGATCTGAGGCACAAAGTTATCGAGCAGGCTGGGACAGTCGCTCCAAGCTCCACGCACCATGCAGTCACCCTGACACCACACGCACACACCATCCCTCCACCATGCACTACCCGCAGCACCATGCACTTAAGGGAGCACGGAACCGACCTGAACGGAGTCGAGGCGGGAGGTGATGTAGGCCTCGGTGATCTGAGGCACAAAGTTATCGAGCAGGCTGGGACAGTCGCTCTTGGTGTAGGCCATTGATGACACGAGGCGCGACCAGAGGCCCAGCAGGAAATACACACTGCCGCTCGCCCACTGTTGGTGGGAGGAGAAGGGGGAAGAGGAACGGGGAGAGCAGGGGAAGGTGTGTTTGAGGCAGAGAGCTGAGCAGGTGGGTGAGCAGGCAGGCTGGGACAGTCGCTCTTGGTGTAAGCCATTGATGAGACCAGGCGCGACCAGAGGCCCAGCAGGAAATACACACTGCCGCTCGCCCACTGTTGGTGGGAGGAGAAGGGGGAAGAGGAACGGGGAGAGCAGGGGAAGGTGTGTTTGAGGCAGAGAGCTGAGCAGGTGGGTGAGCAGGCAGGCTGGGACAGTCGCTCTTGGTGTAAGCCATTGATGAGACCAGGCGCGACCAGAGGCCCAGCAGGAAATACACACTGCCACTCGCCCACTGGTGGTGGGAGGAGAAGGGGGAAGAGGAACGGGGAGAGCAGGGGAAGGTGTGTTTGGGGCAGAGAGCTGAGCTGGTGGGTGAGCAGGCAGGCTGGGACAGTCGCTCTTGGTGTAGGCCATCAAGGACACGAGGGGCGCATGGGTCTGTTTGGACCAGAGAGCTGAGAAGCTGTCGAGCAGGCTGGGGCAGTCGCTCTTGGTGTAGGCCATCAAGGACACGAGGCGCAACCAGAGGCCCAGCAGGAAATACACACTGCCACTCGACCACTGTTTGGTGGGGGGGTGGGTGTGGATGAGGAAGAAGGGAGCGGAGGAAGAGAAGGAGGGGAGCAGGGAGAGCAGGGAGGAAGCAGGGGGGAAGCAGGGAGGAAGCAAGGAGGTAGAAGGAGGCGAGGGGCGCATGTGTCATTTTCAACAAGAGAGCTGAGCACTTATGGAGCAGGCTGGTGTAGGCCATGGAAGACAGTAGCCGCGACCAGAGGGAGCGGGGGAACATTCGTGCGGGAGGGAGCGGGGAGGAAGCAGGCAGTTGGTCTTGAGGCGGTCCAGCAGGCGGCAGTACTCGTGGTAGTTGTCACGAGGTGATCGTGATAGTAAACTCTGCCACGAGCTGCACCCACGGCTCCACTTACCCCACCCAGCCCACCCAGCGGACGCACCTGCCAGGGCTGCAGCGAGGTGATGGTGAATTGCGCCACGAGCTGCACCCACTCGGCGTAGTTATCCACATCACCAGCTCCGCGAGCTGGTAGTTGGTCTTGAGGCGGCCCAGCAGGCAGCTAAGCCAACCCACTACCCAACCCACCCCATCCACCCACCCACCTGCCAGGACTGCAGTGATGTAATCGTGAATTGCGCCACGAGCTGCACCCACTCGGCGTAGTTCTCGGCATTCACCAGCTCCGCGAGCTGGTAGTTGGTCTTGAGGCGGCCCAGCAGGCGGCAGTACTCGTGGTAGTTGTCGTGCTGTGACAGGCCCTGCTTGGACCGCAGGATCTCAGTGGAGCCGTTCATGAGGTGCGAGAGGAACTTGAGGCGCTCTGCCTCGCCTGTGAAGAGCGACCGGCGGACAGAGGCTAGACGGACAAGGCACTCCAAGGCCTGGTTGGCAGGGGCGTGGGAGCAGAAAGAGGAGGGTGGGTCAGGAGCAGCAGGATCTCCGTGGAGCCGTTCATGAGGTGCGAGAGGAACTTGAGGCGCTCTGCCTCGCCCGTGAATAAGGACCGGCGGACGGAAGCCAGCCGGACAAGGCACTCGAGAGCCTGGGGAAGGGGGAGTGGGGAAAAATAGGGACAGAGAAAAGGTGGGCGGAGAAGGGTTGGGGTTGCATAGAAACTAGACACACCAAGCGCTCAAAGGCCTGCGGGGAGTGGGGAGGAACGGGGACAGCCAGAGGTGGGAGGGGAGCGGATGGGCAAAGGGCGAAGTGGCAAGCTAGACGCACCAGGCACCCAAGGGCCCTGGGCGTGAGTAGAGATAGGGAAGAGGCGGGTGGAGTTGGCTTTGAGCTGACCTGGTTGGAGAGCGGGGGCTTGGTGGCGGCA